ACACACAGAAGGCACAGTAGACATAAATAACACGCATCGCATAAACAACATAACAGACGTGGCAGATCATCAGACGAACGAGCACAGGGCTGGACTGTGCTGGAACGAGCACAGCACATGCATGCACACACATGCAATACAGGCACACGCAGCACGTGTGCACACACACACGAAAACACACACGTCCACAATGCAACCCAGACACATGCACACACAGGAAGTGCATGGCGCAGGAGCACAGATTGGGATGGAGTCTGGCAACCAGACATCCCAGGGCAGAGAAGCGCCTGGAAGGAAGAGGGAGCTGGTCCAGACGGACGCCAGGACCTTACACAGGGCACGAGTGGCTCGAAGGGGGGTGATGGGAGGGAAACTAGGAACACTGGTGCTGGGACACGTACACCGGGGGAGGGACGGGTGTTGGGACACGAGGACTGAAAATGACTGAAACCGATTCCTGAGTAGCCTGGTAAGTGTCTATCTTACAGGGATTCAATTTAAAAAAACCCAACTTTGAATAAAAAGGCTCTGAAAAAACAGACCCTGTCACCCCAAGATCCTGTCATCCCAGACCCAGTGTCCCCTAAACTCGTTACCCCAGACCCTCTCACTGAAAGCCTCTCACCACAGACACTGTCACCACAGACCCTGTCACCCCCAGACCCTCTCACCCCAAACCCTCTCACCACAGACCCTCTCACCCCAAGTCCTCTCACCACAGACCCTGTCACCTCCAGACCCTGTCACCCCAGGCCCTGTGTCACCCCCAGACCCTGTCAGCCCAAACTCTCTCACTCTAGACTCTGTCACCCTAGACCCTGTCACCCCAGACCCAGTGACCCCCAAACTCGCTACCCCAGACCCTCTCACTGAAAACCTCTCACCACAGACACTGTCACCAGAGACCCTGTCACCTCCAGACCCTGTCACTCCAGGCCCTGTGTCACCCCCAGACCCTGTCAGCCCAAACTCTCTCACTCTAGATTCTGTCACCCCAGACCCTGTCACCCCTAGACCCTGTCAGCCCAAACCCTCTCACCCTAGACCCTGTCACCCCAGCATCTGTCACCCCTAGACCCTGTCACCCCAGACCCTGTCACCTCAGACCCTCTCAGCCCAGACCCTGTCACCCCCAGACCCTGTATCATCCTCAGATCCTGTCAGCCCAAATCCTCTCACCCTAGACCCTATCACCCGTAGACCCTGTCACCCCTAGACTCTGTCACCTCAGACCCTCTCACCCCAGACCCTGTCAGCCCAAATCCTGTCAACCCCCAGGCCCTGTCACCCCTAGACCCTTCCACCTCAGAACCTTTCAGCTCAGCCTCTGCTCAGACCAGACCCTGTCAGTCCAGACCCTGTCACCCTTGACCCTGTCACCCCAGACCCTGTCGTGCTGGGCTCTGTGTTCTAAAGCAGAGTTCCTGGGCTCGGCACCCCGGGCCCGGCTTACGGCTGTCATCACAACGTGGCACAGCCCCCCTGAGCAAGTGTGGGGACAGGGACATGAGACACACCTGGCAGAGCCCAGACAGGACTGGCCAGAGCGACCAGGGTGGGCCACTCACAGGAGTGTCCGTTTCCAGTCCCGGAACTGGCGGCGCCCCACAAGGCTAGACCCTGCTTAGCCCCCGGGCCCACTGGGGGATCCCTGAGCACCGTGAACCGAGTTTAGCTCCTCAGACAGCAATCCTGGGCAGGCAGGCCTCTGAGGAGTGAGGGCATCGGGGGCACTCACCGCTGCAGCCACCCCGTGTCCCCGTCCGCGTGTCGCCCTACTCTGCCTGCAGCCACAGCCACCCGAGATCTCCAGGGTGCCCGTGGCACCTCCAGGGACGCGGTTGCCCGGAGACCAGCTGTGCCAGCGGCCCCTCCTCTCCTCCGGGTGGGGCAGCCACACCCGCACCTGCCTGCCCTGGCTCTGCCCTCCCAGGCCTCTGTCCCTACTCTGTCCTCACGGAAACGTGGGTGTGAGGGGCCCAGAGCAGCCCCACGCCCATGATTTGGGCCCAGGCTGGAGGGAACCGGGCGGGGGCCTGGGGACACCTGGGCAAGGGGCCTGGCCACTGGCGTTTGCACCAAGTGCAGAGCCGAGTGGGCCAGGAGCTTCGGGTGTGAGTGTCTGGGGGGCACATGATGTGGCCCCACTCCCAGCCGGCCTGTGGGCTATGGCCGGGCGGGTGGAGGGGCCGCTTTGTCCTGGGCAGCTGTTGGTGCCAGTCGGGGTCGTCTCAGGACTTCTGTCCTGGAGCACATGCCGGGAGGCAATAACCCCACACACGCCAGGGTCCCTCCCTGCATGCAGACCTGGCCCCACGGGCAGCCCCAGCTGAAGAACATTCTAGAACGACTTTTAGTCAAGAAAGCTCTTTTGGTGTTCAAGAAATCAGGAGCCTGCAGAGTCGCAACCCCAGCGCTGAAAGCTCAGAGCCCAGACGTCCCCCCGCCCCCCCCCCCCCGCTCTGGGGCACTCCGGACTCCCCAGCTTTGGGCAGGGGCTGCACTTGTGCATGGGGCAGTGCCCCTCGAACCCACAGGGAGAGCTGGCCTGGCCCCAAGATGGGGTGTGGGTGGAGCGGAGCCTGGGAGCGGAGTCCCCCCAGACTCACCAGAGGCCCCAGAGTGGCAGCAGACTTGAACCCGGGACCCGCCAATGAAGTCGGAGGGGCAGAGTGTCAGCTGATGGGTCCTGAGTGCTCCCACGCCCTCCCGGGTGCTGGGGCTGTGGTCCCCAAAAGTCGATTCCATGAGGAGGACGTCCACACTGTCCTGTCCCCGCTTCCTCCAGGCACCCAACCAGGCCAGAAATGCAGGACCCACAGTCCCCTGGCCTCCCCTAGGTCTGGGTCTCCGGGCACCTGTCGCCGGCTCTCACTGACAAACCCCTCAGAGGGGAGGGGATGCCTGCACCACCGGTTGGGGGGGGGGGGGCCAGCACATCCAGGCTGGCACTGTGCTCCCTCTCTGCCCCCTCCCTCTCTCCCTCCCTCTCCTTTCTCTCTCCCTCCCTCTCCTTCTCTCTCTTCCCCCTCCTTCTCTCTCGCTCCCTCTCTTTCCTTCCCTCTCCCTCCCTCTCTCTCCTCTCTCCCTCTCTCCCTACCTCTCCTTCCCTCTCCCCCTTCCTCCCTCTCTCCCTCCGTGTGTCTCTTTCTGTGTCTCTTATCTCCATCTGTGTCTACCTCTGTCTCCCCATCTCTGTTTCTATCTATCTCTGTTTGTCTCTCTGTCTCTGTCTCCCTCTGAGTGTCTCTCTGTCTCTATCTCTGTGTCTGTCTCTGTCTCTTGGTGGTACCATCTGCCAGTCCTGGGGGCACAGACAGCTTGGGGTGGGGTCCAGTCCCATGAATGATGTCAAACCCCCACAGACAGTGCTACCTGGAGCAGTCAGTGTCACCTGCCCCTGAGTGTCCTGTCCACGTCTCAGGCAAGTGTCCCTGGAATGTGGCGTGGCCAGGTGCCACTTGGTGACACAGTGTCAAACAGCCTCGCTGTCACGGTCCTCCCGGAGCAGGTGGTGACGTGGCACGAACACATCTCTGCCCTCGGGAGCCGCTCTACCCACTCGGGGCCTGCCCGGCCTGGTTGGAACTGCCCTGTCCACGCACAGGGGCAGTGCCCTCAGCTGGCCGGCATAAGGCGATGACCAGGAGCTAGACCTGACCTCTGAGTGCCCCAAGTGGGTGCGTATGGGGCTCTGCCCCCCGCCCGCAGAGGCCAGATCTGGCTGGAGGCACCTGGGCAGGAAACTTTCATTCCTGCGGAAGCTCCTGGAGAACGTGCTCCCTGAGGCCTCAGGAGGGCTGAGCCCACCCGGACCATTCTGGCAGGAGGTATCTGGGGGGGACTGCACGAGGCTCAGGGCCACCCACTCAGGCTGCTCAGGGTCACCTGGGGGGGGGGGGGAGGGTGCCCCAGTTCCTCTGCTCCCAAACCCCTTCTGCCAGAGCAGAAGATCCCCTGCCCAGGGTGCAGGACATGGGAAGCACCCGCACACCTCGGCCGGGCCCAGGGACTGGCATATGACGCCCGCTGTGTGCCAGGCAGCGCATGGAGCTAGTCTTCCTGGGCGACCCAGCGCCCAGGCCCCCAGCCAGGCTCCCCAGCCGCCTCCCAGGTCCTGCTACAGAGCTGGGGGCGCCGGGGGCTGCACAGTGCCGACTGGGGACAGGGTTGGGGAGGGCTACCCTGGCCAAAGCCAGCTCCTGTGTCCCGTGGCACGGGCAGGCACAGCCGGTCCTCATCCCGCCTTCTCCCCGGGAGGAACTCAGGGGCAGAGCGCCAGCAGGCCCTTTATCTGCTGGGTCGGGAGGCCTGGCCCTGGGCACCCCGTGCTGGGCTTTGTCCTGACCATACCAGGGCTGGAGAGGGGGCGTGAGGGCAGCCCGCGCTCCGCAGCCCAGGGCGGGAGTGACGCACCCGCGGTCAGCGGGCTCCGTGGGCGTGTGGCCTCCCCTCCCGCCCCCTTCCGCCCCTGGGGCGCCGCCGGCTCCGCAGTCCCGGGGCAGCTCCAGCCAGAGGGACCCGGGACCAGGCTCGGAGGTGAAGGCGGCGCCCCGGCTCAGGCCGCTGGGGGGGGGCCCACCGCGGGGGAGCGGGGAGGGGGGGGCCTGGGGCTGCCCGAGGGGGCCGGGGTCTGGCCCGGGTCTGGCCGGGGGGCGGGGACGGCATCCCCGCGGGGGCGGGGTCTGCGGGGGGAGGGCGTGGGGCGGGGCGGAATCTCCGCGGGGTCTGCGGGGGGAGGGCGTGAGGCGGGGCGGGGTCTGCGGGGAGGGGAGGGTCCTGCGCGAGGCGGGGGCGGGGTCTGCGGTAAGGGGCGGGATCTGGACGGTGGGCGGGCCCCTAGAGGGGCGGGGCCTGCGCAGGGGGCGAGGAGGGGGGGTCTGCGTGGGGCGGGGTCTGCGCGGGGCGGGGCGGGGTCTGCGCGGACCCGCGGGCGGGGGTCGGCGGGGAGGGTCTGTCCGTCCGGCGGGCGCTGACATCACGGCGTGGCGGGCGCGCGCATCACTTCCTCGGCGCCCGCCCGCCCGGCCCGCCGCGTCCCGGCCCGGCCCGCCCAGCCCAGCTATGGCCGGGCCCGCCCCGCCCGCCGACGAGCTGCCCGGCCCGGCCCGGCGCCTCTACTCCAGGTTCGGGCCGGGCGGGCCGGGCCGGGACGCGGCGGGCCGGGCCGGGACCGCGGGTGGCGGGCGGACAAAGGTGGCGCCAGCGTGGCGGGCCGGGGCCTCCCCGCGCGGCGGGCCGGGCCAGAGGTCGCTCCGGGGGTCGCGTCGGGCCGGGGGTCGTGCCGGGGCCGGGCCCGGGTCGTGCCGGGCCGGGGGGCGCGGTGGCTGCGGGCCGGGTGGGCGGGGGGCGCGGGCCGGGCCTGCGGTGGGGGCGGGGCGGGGCGTGCCGGCCGCGTGTCCCGCTGTGATGCTGCACCCGCCGGGATGGTGACAGGTGACTCCGGGACGGTCCCGCGCCGGCGGGCCTGGAAACTGGTGCCGCGCCCCCCCTTCCCCCCCCCCCCCCCGCCCCGTCCGCCTCTGGCCCCCACCAGCAGAACCAGGCCCGGGAGCCCTCCTGCGCGGTGCCATTGTGTGGTCCCCAGGAGGGCAGCCTGGGGCTAAGAGCAGGGGGAGCGTCCTTCCCTGGCCTGGAGGCCTGGACCTCAGCCGGAAGCCCACACGCGTGGCAACTGCCGCCCTGCAGCCTTGCTGGGGCGTGACCGGAGGCAGGGGGGGTGCTGACCCGCAGAGGCGGCCGCGGGTGGTCGGCGGGGGAGGGGAGACACAGTGGGGGCTGCCCCTGGACCCAACAGTCTCACCAGGAGGGTGTGTGCTCAGGTCCCTGCACTGGGGGTGCAGGTCGGGGGCGTTCTCGCCCCGTGTTGGGGCACAGGAAGTCAGGCGCACAGCGGCCCAGCCTGCCAGGATGTGTGACAGGTGAAGTCACCCATCTGAGGTGGCCTGGAGCACCATGAAGGGCCGTGACCCGGGGGTCTGGGTGGGGTGTGTCAGGGGCTGTGCATGAGGGGCCAGGAAGGATGGGTGTATGAACCCACACCCCCGGGGCCCCAGCTCAGAGCTGGAGGGCCCAGAAGACCCTGGGAAGGCTGTGGGACCCCTTTGAGTCCCCTGGGGCCTGAACCTGACAGCCTGTATGGGTGGTTCCCTGGGGGACTGCAGCTGTTGACGTGCCCCAAATGTGAGTCTGGGGGAGACGGGCGGGGCTGTGGGGTGTGGGATGGGCAGGCTGGAGGTGTGTTTGCCGGCTGGCTGGGCAGGTTCCACAGAAGACACACATGCAGGGCCTGGACATGCAGGCACTGACCACACGCACTCGTGGGGCCCTGCACGCTGCAGCACAGGCATGGGGCGGGGCATGCTGGGCCCTTGGGGGTCAGGCCGCCCTCCGGGCTTGTCTCGGGTGACCCCGCATTCCGGGCTCTGCCAGCACTGGCCTTCGGACCACCAGAGACAGGATGGGCCAAGCCTCAATGTCAAGGGAGGGCAGGGCCTTGAGGGGCACAGAGAGGCGGCCTGGGGCTCTCACGCCCGCCATCCCTGGCCCTCCCAGTGTGCTCTGGGGCATGGCTTCGGGCTGGCCCAGGCCAGGGGACCCTAGAGGACCCTGCTTGGGGCCAGGTGGGCTTTGGGTCCAGCTGAGCGAGCAGAGGGTGGGCAGGGGCTGCTGGTTAGCGTGCCTGTGACCCTGCAGGATGGAGGCCTCCTGTCTGGAGCTGGCGCTGGAGGGGGAGCGACTTTGCAAAGCCGGCGACTTCAAGGCGGGGGTGGCATTCTTCGAGGCGGCCGTGCAAGTGGGCACCGAGGACCTGAAGACGCTGAGTGCCATCTACAGCCAGCTAGGCAATGCCTACTTCTACCTGAAGGAGTTTGGCCGCGCGCTGGAGTACCACGGGCACGACCTGCTGCTGGCGCGGTGAGGGCCGGCGGGAGTCCGCGGGTCTGTTCCATCTGTGTGATCGCCAGCCCGCGTGACTGTGCATGTGTGTGCGTGGGTGCACATGGTCCCTTGTGTGTGAGCATGCATGTGGCCCTTCCCAGTCCTGGCCCTGACTCTGGAGCGCGGCCCTGCAGCCCCTTGCCTTGCCCCTGCACCCTACCCCACAGCAGCTGGCGAGCCTCCAGACCCTGCGCCCCCTCCTCTGAGCCCCTTAGCCTCACTGCTCGCAGGTCACAGCCTCAGGGTGGCCCTGGGCTAGGCTGTCTTTGCTCACCCTCTCCCACCTGCAGGACCATCGGGGACCGCATGGGGGAGGCCAAGGCCAGCGGGAACCTGGGCAACACCCTCAAGGTGCTGGGGCGCTTCGAGGAGGCGGTGGCGTGCTGCCAGCGGCACTTGGACATCGCGCAGGAGCAGGGGGATAAGGTGGGCCCTGGGTCCAGGGAACAGACGGGTGTGGAGACCCAAGAGCCCAGCCTACATCTTCTATGCAGCCCCCGGGAGACAGGAAGCAGCCGATGGTGCAGAGTGCCCGGTCCTGCTTCCGGCGGGTCCCCTGGTCACAGGGCGGAACATCCCTGACTGTGCCCTGGGAGGCCTTGGGGGCACCTGTAGGGTGGGGCGGAATGGGACGTGGAGGCGTGCCCTGTGCACCCAGCGCCTCAGCCTTGGCCCTGCAGGTTGGGGAGGCTCGGGCCCTCTACAACCTGGGCAACGTGCACCACGCCAAGGGCAAGCAGCTAGCCTGGAGCAGCGCGCAGGATCCCGGCCACCTGCCGCCACATGGCCGCGACACCCTGCGCAGGGCTTCGGAGTTCTACGAGTGAGCAGGCCCGGACCCTGCCCCGCCCCGCCCCCAGTCCCTGTCTTGCCCCGCCTCCTGCCCCGGCCCCGCCCAAGCCCCACCTCCAGGCCCCACCTCCAGGCCTCGGCCATGCCCCCGCCCACTCCAGGCCCGCCCTAGGCCAAACCCCGCCTCCATGCCTCTTCCAGCCACTAGGCCACAGCCCTGGCCCGGCCCGTCTCCAGACGCCCCCCCGCCCCGCCCCCCCCCCGCCCTGGCCCCGCCCCAGCCCCACCTCCAGGCGCGGGCCACTCCCCCAGGCCGCAGACCCAGACCTCAGGCCTTGCCCCCAGGCCACAGACCTGGACCACGGCCCCGCCCCCAGGCTGCAGCCCCGCCCCCAGCCGCTGGATGGAGCTGGGGGCCAGGACCTGTGGGTAGGGGCTTTTCCAAGGACAGGAGCCCCTTCTGCCTGTCGCACCCGTCCCCGGTGGGACCGACTCACTGGACTGTCCCTCAGGAGGAACCTGGCCCTGGTAAAGGAGCTGGGTGACCGAGCTGCGCAGGGCAGGGCTTATGGCAACCTGGGCAACACCCACTACCTGCTGGGCAGCTTCCTGGAGGCTGCAGCCTACCACAAGGAGGTGAGCTGGAGGACCTGCAGCGGTGGTGGGCCGGGCCTGGGCAGCATGGTGACCCTGCCCCATCCCTGCCCAGCGCCTGGCCATCGCTAAGGAGTTTGGTGACAAGGCAGCAGAACGGAGAGCTTACAGCAACCTGGGCAATGCACACGTCTTCCTGGGGCGCTTCGATGTGGCCGCGGAGTACTACAAGTAAGTGCCCAGCCGTGGGTGCTGCCAGCCCCATGTGGCCCGCAGAAGCCCCTGCGCGTCCCGCCTGTCCTGTGCTGCTGGCCTTAGCCCCGTTCTGGGTTTCAGGGAACCCCACAGCTGTCTGCTCTTGTGCGCTTCTGGGCTGGGCGGGCCCCTGAGCCCTGAGCGTGCCCTCGGGTGGGCCCAGTGCCCCTGAGCGTGCCCTTGGGTGGTCCTGCACCCCTGAGTGTGCCCTTGGTAGGAAGACGCTGCAGCTGGCACGGCAGCTGCAGGACCCGGCGGTGGAGGCACAGGCGTGCTACAGCCTGGGCAACACCTACACACTGCTGCAGGACCACGAGCGTGCGGCTGAGTACCACCTGCGCCACCTACTCATTGCACAGGAGCTGGCCGACAGGTGCAGGGACACGTGGGCGGGAGGACTCAGGCAGGGAGGACTCAGGAGGGAGGACTCACAGAAGGGGATGACCCAGACGGGAGGACTCGGGAAGGACTCAGGAGTATTCACAGGTGGGAGGACTCAGGTGGGAGGGCTCACAGAAGGGGAGGACTCAGACATGGGAGGACACAGCAGGGAGGACTCAATCAGGGAGGACTCAATCAGGGAGGACAGACGGGGAGGAATCACTGATGGGGAGGACAGACAGATTGGAGAGGACTCACTGCCAGGAGGCCCTACACAGCTCTGCTGCCCTCCGACCCTCCCCCCGGACCCCCACTGTGGTCCAGCTTTGGGAACGCCCAGCCTTGTGCTGACCTTGCTCCTGAACCCTGCTGCTGGCTCACATGGGGGAGTGGCACAGGATGCGCCTTCCAAGGGTCTGACTCACGGAGCCCGCTGAGCCCGATGGCCACTAGGGGGCGAGCAAGTCATGGGGACTCGAGGCCCTGTGGGGGCTCACCTGGCTGCATCCTCTGTGTGGGGCTGGGGGCAGGACCCGAGGGGACCGCCCTGACTCAGTTTCCATCCCCCCAGAGTGGGCGAGGGCCGGGCGTGCTGGAGCCTGGGGAACGCCTATGTGTCCATGGGAAGCCCAGCCCAGGCCCTGACCTTCGCCAAGAAGCACCTGGAAATCTCCCAGGAGGTGAGAGCCCCCCTTCTTCTGGGCACACTGAGACTCGGGGGGTGCCCAAGGGGTCAGCCCTGGCAGCCCCACAGGTGGGCCCTTTTGTCCAGTGGAGGTGGCTGTGCCCCAGGTGACCCTGGCCTGGCAGAGAGCACCAGGGGCACTGACAGCCAAGCACCCCGCACCCTCCTGGGGGCAGAGCAGCCCCGCCCCTGGCCCCCGGCAGCATGTCCAGGGCCCTGTGGAGGCGCCAAGAGCCTTCCCACACTTGGCTGGCACCTGGAAAGCACCCAGTAGGGACCCTCCCCATAGACTTGCTCTAGGCTGGGGTCTGGGCTGGGAGGGCAGCACCAGGCCAGGCCTGAAGAAGGAGCCTCAACCAGGACCTGGACCCACGCAGCCCCCACCCTTGCCTGCAGATCGGGGACCGAGGCGGGGAGCTCACAGCTCGCATGAACGTGGCCCAGCTGCAGCTGGTGCTGGGCCGGCTCAGCCCGGCGGCCACCGAGAAGCCCGACCTGGCCGGCTACGAGGCCCAAGGTGCGTCCCAGTGCAGCCGGCAGGTGGGCCCTGTCGTGTCGGGGGGGAGGGGGGCTGTGGGTGTGGGAGAGGGCGTCCAACAAGCAGGCCTCTGGCCACGGGGGGTCTGCGGCCCCAGGGTCTCCCGGCCTCGCCACCTGCACGTCGTGGGCCAAGCAAATCCAGCCCGCTCCCCGCCGGCCCATAGGGACACTCAACCTGAGACAGCTGTGTGGGTCGGAGCCAGCAGACCAGATCAAGAAACTGAGTCGGCCCCCGATGTTGGCAGCTGGGAGAGAGCCCATCGGCAGGGAGAGACGAGCAGGCTCTGGGGGCGGTGGTCAGCTGTGAGCATGGCCTGGGATCCCCAGCGTCTACCTGGCCCAGGGCTGCAAGGTCTGGCCGAGCCCTGCTGGGCTGCCTCTCTGCCCTCCCCCGAGCTGCTCTCCGGGGACACGGCGCCCAGCAGGAAGACTGGCCCCCTTAGGACTTCCTCTACCCAGGCTGTCCTCGGGACGTCCTGAGTTAGCCAGGTGGCATTGACAAGCTCTCGGGAGTGCTGGTGAGCGGCCACCAGGCCCCCGTCCCTCCAGGGTCACCTGCTGCCTGCCAGGCCCCCACAGGGTCATCTGGTGCCCCCCTGCCTCGCCCATTCCCTCCAAGGCCTCCGGATCTGTCACTGGGGTGAGGATCCTGCCAGGGCACCAGTGCTGGACACTGGCCATGCCCAGTAGCCCCTGCTCCCAGCTGCTCTCTGGCACCCCTGATCTAAGTGGCACCGCCCTCTGTGCCCCCGGGGCCAGGCTGAGGGGCTCCTCCCCCAGCCAGGCCTGGCATGTCCCTGCAGTGCTCTCAGGCTCGAGGCTGGATGGCGCCCCTGCTCCCACTGGGGATCCCCTCCTCCTGGAAGCCAGGCTGGCTGCACCTTGCTGCCTCGGCCCAGACGCAGTGGGGTGCAGGGCCCTGATGGGGCTCAGCATGCAGCATGTGGACCCGTCTGGGGGGACTGACACCCCCGTCTCCCAGGTGCCAGACCCAAGCGGACACAGCGGCTGAGTGCAGAAGCCTGGGACCTGCTGAGGCTGCCCCTGGAGCGGGTGAGTGGGGGGCAGGCCGGGGCGGCGGGCCGAGGGGTCACTGCGCTGAGTCTGAGCTCACACCCCCCTCCCCACCGCCCAGGAGCAGAACGGGGACAGCCTTCAGCACGCTGGGGACTGGCGGGGGACTGGCCGGGACGCGCTGCCCCTGCCCCTGAGGAGCCACAAGTACCAGGAGGGCCCGGCCGCCGAGAGGAGGCCCCGCGAGGGCAGCCACTCCCCACTGGACAGCGCAGACGTCCGGGTGCAGCTGCCCCGCACGGTAGGAGCTGCTTTGGGTGTGTGAAGGGGTGTCCTGTGTGTCCTGTGGCCCCGCCCCAGGGAGCAGCCAGGTGGCCTCGTCGTGTCTGGCACGGTCAGTACACCCTGTGTGTGGGCAGACGGGCTTGGACAGGCACTGGCCTTGTGCCCGGCAGGGTCCCCTCTGCCCAAGAGCTGGTCAGGGCTTGGGGGCCACCGAGGGGCACAGCCCCCTACAGAGCACCTGCCCCCAGGAGCTAAAAATAGCACCCATGAGGGCTTTGGCAGAACCGCCCCGGGCGGGCGTGGGTGCCCGCGGTATTCTTAGCCTGGAGCACCCGCACCCTTTTTCTACAAGCCTGGGGGCCCGACACCCCATCTGACCCCAGACTGCCCCAGAGCGACTGTGTGAGGCTGGGGTGGAGGTCTGGTCACACCAGGTGTGGTCGCTCCAGTGGGGGCCGGGGCCGGCCCAGGGGTCCTGCTGGGTCAGAGGCATCAGGAAGTGGATGAAAATCTGACCCCACCCAGGAGAGGTCCAGGAGGACGGGGCTTGCGCTGGCGACTGCAAGGGCTGACAGCTCCTGTGAGGCTGTGCTGAGACCCCTGTGGGGCCCCCAGGCAGCCGATACAGAAGGTGCTGCGGCTAGCCTGTTTACCTCGCCCTAGGAGGGGAAACTGAGGGACAGGGCTGGCCTGCAGGCACCCAGCTTGTCTGGGTGCTCAGCTCCCCAGCACCCCCCGCCCTGCAGAGGAGAGAGGTGGGCTGGCAGCTGGGTGGCGTAGGGGGTCCCTTGGAGGGACTGAGGGCCTGGGAGCAGTCTGCCTGCTGCTGTTGCTCCTAGCTAGGGCGGGGTGCACTGGCGAGTGGTGGTCAGGAGGCCTGTGGGGGCGCCACAAGCATCCAGAGGCCTGGAGTGCTCGCATCAGCATCAGCGGGGAAATCCACCAAGTGTTTGCAGAGTCTGTGCAAGGGGGCGGGGGAGGGGGAGGAAGGGCGGGAGCAAGCGGGCGGGAGCACGAGCACTTGGGAGCAGGGAGGGCGCCCGCGCGGGCGGGGGGCGGGCCGGGCAGGCTGGGCCGGGCTCTCCCAGGTCCTATTTAAGGCGCCAACAGCCCTGTGGGTCCGTGGCGGCTCCCTAGCGGGCACCGTTGTCCCGTGGCTCCCGTGGCTGCCTGTCGTGCTCCGTTGCTGCTGCCAGTGTGAGTGTGGGGCCCTGGGGGGCTGGCGCTGTGGGCTGCGTTCCAGCACCTTCCACACAGCCAACTCCTGCCCCTTCGTGGGTCCAGGAGACTGGGGGGCCTTCCTCAGCAGAAGGCTGGGTGCCGGAGGGTCGAGGCCGCAGGCAGGGCCCAGCACTTGGGTATTACCCTGAGGAGACTCCTCACCGCGGCCCCAGCCCACACACAAGGGGAAGCTCGGCCTGACAGGTGTGGAAGGAGGGGGTGCCAGCCCGTGCCCGTGGGCTGCTGGGAGGGACCGGACACGGGCTGCCCCCACGGGCCCCGAGGGGGCTCTGAGACCCTCTGAGGCTCCTCCGAGCTACGCCTGTGGGTCAGGACTGTTCGGGGGGAGCTGCACCCACTGCCGGGATGGGCCATGCTGTGGCAGCTTGCCGGGGGTCCCCAGTTGAGATGTGACCTGCCCTCTGTCCTCAAGCCTCTCAGCCCTGCAGTGCCCCCTGCGTCCTGCTCTGTCCCACAGCCCAGAGTAGCTCTGGCCACCTCATAACCATTAGCCAAATTGGGTGTGTGCTCTGATTCTGTGGCCTGAACACCCCACAGGTGGGGTCCTGGCCCCAGCACTTGCTGCCCTCTGGGATCAGACTGGACAGCTCCTGCAGCCTTTGCTAGCGTGACCCCCTGTTGTTGGCACCTTTAAGTGCACGTGCCAGGGCCCCAGCACAGGCCACTGAAATGGCCACCAAGGCAACTCGCCCTCCCCCTCACGCTTGCTTGCACTCGACTGCTTGTTCCCACAGCAGATGTGGGTGAGCTCAGCAGGAAGCCTGGCTGCAGAGAGCAGCGGTGCGGGCCCTGGGGTCAGGCTGGAGGGGCAGCCCGGGCTGGCGGGTAGGAGCGGAGGGTCCCCCTCACTGCTGTCCTGCCCCTGCACTGGCCCGCAGAGCATCCCCCGGGCACCATCCTCAGACGAGGAGTGTTTCTTTGATCTGCTGAGCAAGTTCCAGAGCAGCCGCATGGACGACCAGCGCTGCCCGCTGGAGGACGGGCAGCCGGGTGCTGCGGAGGCCACGGCAGCCCCGGTGCTGGAGGAGCGGATGGGTGAGTGCTTGCCCCAGCTGCCACGCGCAAGGGTGTAGTCATGCCCGTCAGCGCCCACTCCGTGGGAGGCTGCCGTCACCTGGCAGTGGGGGTGGCAGCCCTGCTCCTCATCCGGCCCTGTGCCCGCAGCCCAGCCCTCCCTGACCGCCTCACCCCAGACGGAAGAGCTCTTCGACCTCATCGCCAGCTCCCAGAGCCGCCGGCTGGACGACCAGCGGGCCAGTGTGGGCAGCCTGCCGGGCCTGCGCATCACCCACAACAACCTGGGCCACCTGCGCGGCGACGGGGACCCCCAGGAACCAGGGGATGAATTCTTCAACATGCTCATCAAGTGTCAGGTGGGCCTGCCTGCCCCGCCCCTGGGCCACACGCCCCGCCCATCTGCCTGTCCGGACCCCGCCCCACCCCGCCCACCCGGTCTGCCTGTCCCTCCGCTGTGCCCTGCCCAGTGGCCGGAGCACGGCCCTGCCCCACTCCTCTTTTCTCATCGAGGCTTCTGCCACCGGACTCGGGCCACGCTCAGCCCCCCCGAGCGCTGCCCTTTGGGTTGCCCGGTTCCCGGTTCCAGAGGTGCCCTTCCTTCCTGCAGAGCCGACCCGCGGCCCCCCAGCGCCCTCGCGTCCCCCGTCCGCACGCACCCACGCAGCGCCCACTGCGGCTGCGGGACCAGCTCACAGCCCTGCTCCGGAGCCTGCGGAGGAGGCCAGCGCGGCGTCCCCGCGGCGCCGACCCCCGCCCCGCCCCGGGCCCCGGGGGAGGGGGGCGTTCCCGGGCGGGCGTGGCGGGCCGGGCAGCCCACTGTCCTGTGTACCCAGTCCTCCAGGATCGACGACCAGCGCTGCCTCCCGCCCGCCGTGCTGCCGCGCGGCCCCACCATGCCCGACGAGGACTTCTTCAGCTTGATCCAGCGGGTGCAGGCCAAGCGGATGGACGAGCAGCGAGTGGGCCTCGCCGGCAGCCCGGAGCAGGAGGCGGGCGGGCCTGAGCCCCGCGAGCAGTGCCGGCCGGGCGCCAGCTAGGGCCGCCGGGCCGCCCCCGCTCTGGCCGTGGAGGTGCTCCCGGATCCGATGTCCGCGTCCTCTGTGGCCAGGCCAAGCCCCCTGAGTCCCCCCCTGCCGCCGTGCCCCGCCCCGGGCTCCGGAGGCGAGAGATTTCTTTCTGTCCGGGGCTGACCCCCACACGGTACATGGCCTCCTGCAGGCTGCCTGGCCCGGCCCTGCCCCACCCCTGGCCCAGGCCATCTCCGAACCTGGTGCTGCCCCCACGTCCTGCTCTGCTCCCCCCCAAATGTGAAACCCATCTCTCCCAAACCTACAAATAACTCTGGGGGGCGGCCAGCAGGTTGGACCTGCCCATCCCCCTGTAGATGCCCCAGGATGCCCAGTGCTACACCCCAGGCAGGACCCCCGGTGAGGGGTGGACACGGGCTGTCTGGGCACTGCACAGGGCCCTGGGACCTCGGCCACCGTCCGCCCTCACCCTGACCACACCTGGACCCCCACAGGCACTGCTTACCCTGTCTGGACAGTGGGGGGGTCCTGGTCTCTGCGTGGCCAGCTAGCCCAACAGGCAGGAGCTGCCAAGGGCCTAAAGGGCACCTTTGTCCAACCCTCACCCCGTGTGCCCTCAGATGGGGGCGGGAGTGCCGCTGAGAGAGTAGCTGGACCCCCCCACAGCTGCGGGCAGGGGTGCCTCCCTGCATACTTGAATGTACCTGCATCTATTTCCTGCATCGGCCGAGCCACGCCTCTTCCCCCGTGTTGCCCGAACTAATAAACTCTGCCATGTCCCGCTTGTGTCAGCGTCCGGGTGGGCTGGGGTGCGGGTGGGGCCCTCGACTCCCAGGAGGGACACAACCCTCGTGAGCCCTGGCTAGCACCCCAGCCCCAAGGAAATGGCTTCTCTGGGAGCCGGCCTGAGAGCTAAGGAAGGAGCTTCTTCACCCCCAAGACACTGTGCTGGGTGGCGAATTTGACACTTTGGAGCCAAACACTCAGGGGTCTTGGGGTCAGGGCCTTCTGAAGTGCAGAGATGGGCTGAGCAGGGAGGCCAGCAGTGCTGGGGAGGAGCAAGCCGAGCACTAGGTGCATCGCGGGATGCCAGGGGGGGTGTCCCAGGACCCAGGCTGAGGCCAGGCCCTATGGCCGGGCTGCTCCAAGTTCTGGGAGCTCAGCGGAAGAGGCCCCGGGTGACAGCCAGATACACGTGCAGGCGGCTCTGGGGGATAATAGGGGGGTGCCCGCCAGGGAAAGGACAGGGGGTAATCGAGTTGGGAGAACAATGCCGCAGGCGGGACAGGCACTGCGCAGCTGCTGGTGATTAATGCTGAAGGTTGCCGGCGCGCTGGGGTAAACATCCAGGCGGCAGGCCGAAAGCATGCAAACGCCTGGCGCCAGGGCAGGCCGACTCGTGACTGGCTGCCGAACAAGGTCGAGGATAAGGTCGGATGGCCCACGGGCACCGAAGTCGTAGCAGGATGTAGGGTCCATGAAGACCCCCGCCTTTCCTGGTCGGGTCAGGCTGACCCTGGCAGCAGTCAGCACAGGACAGTGACGAGGAGCGGGCCCAGGCACCTGCAGTGACATGTTTATTGATGGAAGTCAGGAGAGTCCAGGGCTCAGCTGCCCTCCCTCTGGCTAGGGAGGGCGGGGCCCTGGCCCTCAGCCTCTTCTGGGTCAGCGCTGGGCTTGGAGGGCCCTGCAGTCTCCAGCACCAGCTCCACGGCCCCCTCGGCCCCCTCGCTGGTCACTCGGCGCACCTCCTCCCCTCTGGCTGCCAGGATTTCCTCAATGTTCCTGTGAGTGAGAGAGGGAGAGGGGCTGGAGCGATAGCACAGTGGGGAGGGTGTTTGCCTTGCATGTGGCCGACCCGGGTTCGATTCCCAGCATCCCATATGGTCTCCGAGCACCGCCAGGAGTAACCCCTGTGCATCACTGGGTGTGACCCAAAAAGAAAAGAGGGAGAGAAGCAGGCACTGTAACACTGCAGGCTCATGGCTGCCTGGACCTCAGCCCCCAGGGCAATCCAGGGCCCGTCCCACAGCAATCTCAGGAGGGGTGCAGCAGGAGCCCGCCTGCCATAAGCCACACTGAGGTGAGCCCTGCCAGACAGGGCGTGGTGGCATGAGGGTCCTGCCCAACAGAGTAGAGTGAAATTGGATGGACCCCACACCTTAAGAGGGCCAGCTTTCCTGAACGCTGAGGTGAGGCAGTGAGTGGGCTGAAGAGGGCTGGTCTCTAGCAGAGATTTAGCGACTGTGAACAGGAACCATGCCTGGGCAGCCTCATCTAAAGTGCTCCTGACCCGGGTTAACCCCAGCACCACACACGATTAGGCAAGCTTGCCAGGAATGATGCCTGAGCACCACCCTGTGTGGCCCATAATGAAAAACTGAAGCTGAGGCCGGAGCGATAGCACAGCGGGTAGACCCTTGCCTTACACATGGCCGACCCAGGCTCCATCCCCCGCATCCCCTGTGCACCGCCAGGAGGTATTCCTGAGTGCAGAGCCAGGAGTAAAGAGAACCACCTGAGCACCACCGGGTGCATCCCAACAAAAAGCAAAAAAACTGAAGTTGTCTTGAATTCCAGTCTCACCCCCTTTCCTATATGAGATGAGGACCGGCAGGGACGGGTGCTGCGACGGCTCAGGGAAGGAAGCTGCCTCTGGCCCAGGCCCCATCACGTGGTCTCACCTACCCCTACCCAGGTGGACCCACCTTTTCCCGTCCAGGTCCGAGAACCAGCCCAGGTTGTCCGCGATGATGTGACGGTTCTGGCAGCCAGGGCAGGTCACAAGGACCACACCCTGCTGATAGGCCAGCTTGGAGATGCGATTGGAGGAACGAGTCCCACACACCTGGCGAGATGCTGCGAGCAGGTGAAGCCCCGCCTCCTGGGAAAAGCCCGCCCCCGAAGCGCCCTCCGCGGGCAGGTCCTGCGCTCCCGGCGCCCGCCTCCCGACCCCGGGCGTCCCGGCCGCGCCCACCTTGCAGGTGTAGATGAGCTGGTAGTGAGCGGCCTCCACGCGCCCCAAGTCGGAGCTCGTGCGTCGCGGGCTCCAGCCCCAGCCCCAGCCCCGCCTCCTCTCCGAGCCCACCAGGCGGGACCCACGTCCCCACAGCCTCCTCAGGCCGGGCGTCCGGGGCGTCGCGCGGCCCACGAGCGCCACGAGGCCCAGGGCCGCCCTCAGCATCCTGCCCGCTCGGCCGTCGGCCCGCCCGGTCCCGCCCCACTGAGGCCGCGTACGGCCATGTTGGGGGCTGGCACGCGGCGGAAGAACCCGCCCCGCTTCCGGCGCCGTGGCACGGCGCGCCCGCCCGGCCCCGCTGAGGCCGCGCACGGCCATGTTGGAAGCGGGCACGCGGCGGAAGAACCCGCCCCGCTCCCGGCGCCGCAGCACGGCGCGCTCTGCTGCCCCCTGGCGGGCGGCGGGAAAAGGTACGCGGAGGCGCGGAGCCGCGGGTCGCGCGTTTATTTGGGGACGGGGTCACGCCGCCGCGGCGCTACGAGCCTTCGGTGTCGGTGTTGTCGCTGCCGGTGGTGTTCTCCCAGTCCGCTTCACCCTGCCGCGAGGCGTGTTGCATCTTCCGCAGCGCCCGCTTCCTGCCGGAGACCGCCCGTGGGCAGGTGTGCGCAGGGGGGCGCGGGCCACCCGCCCGGCCACCCCCGCGGGCCCACCTGCGGTAGTTCTCGAAGCTCTCCTTGAGACGCCGCCGCTCCTTCTCCGGGGGCTCAGCTCCCGTCTCCTGGAGGAGGGTGGGAATGAGGCAGCACGTGCTTGGCACCCACTGCCCGCCAGTGGGCTTCTAGGGCGCCCTTCCGGAAGGGAGGCACGCGGCTTCCCGAGACCACCAGGGAGACCCCTCTGTCCATGTCAGGTGCCAATACGAGCCTCCCCGGAGGCCCAGACGCGGGGGCCCTGCGCTTACGTGGTGGGTCAGCGACAGACACTCCATGTGCAGGGCCTCCGTGGGCTGCTCCGGGTTCTCCCCATCCCCCACGCTTCCTGAAAGGACCGAGGTGCTGGAGGTGCCTCCAGTGCACCCCTGAGCCGGGCAGGCTGTGCCCACCCCACCCAGGGCAGCCCCAGCCAGCAGCAGACACCCCGCAGCTCCTGGTGGGGACCCCAGAACTCTCGAGCCCAGGTGGGCCAGGCTCAGGGCACCTGGGCAGAAAGGGCCCTGTGGCTTAAGCCCATCCATCTGGGCAGTGAATGGCGTGGCTGTCCCCGAGCTGACCCTCCCTACTCTGATCATGGCTCTGCTCTGATGCTCCTGGGTCATTTGGACAGAAGCCATGTGATCTCCTGGTACATGTAGACATGTACCCTTGAGCCTGTAAGGGGCTGAGATGAAGTTGCTCTCACCTTTGTCTGAGAGTGGGGCATCCTCCTCCGGGTCCTGGGAGAGCGAGAGCTTCAAGCAAGAGAGAGAGAGGGGTCATGGCAGCCCTCGCCGGCGGTGCCTTCGTCCACGTGTCCCAGCCTGCCCCCTGTGTAGGTGCCTGGCTCACCTCCTGGGATTTCCGGGGCGAGCTGTCTTCCAGGTCAGAGCTCTGGTCGCCACGGGAGAGGGGACTGGTCAGCAGGGGCAAAGGCCCCCAGCATGCCCCAGGTGCGGGTGGGCAGGGGAAGGGCCTGATCAGATTGTCCCCCCCCCCCTTGCTCTGACCCAGCCCTCACAGGGTCGGGAGAGGAAGGCACAAGGCAGGGAGGACCCCACCCCGGCCCACGCACCAGCACCAGCTTGTCCTGCCGCTGCCCCAGCCGGCCCTGTGCTGCTAGCAGCCGGGCCTCACACTGGAACAGCTGCAGCTGCAGCTCGTCTGCTCGCTCCGCTAGCTCCCGCGCCCGCTTGCGAAGCTCGTCCTTGTCCTGCAGGCTCCGGGCGTACTGCGCATGCAGCTCCTCCCGCGACGCCAGTGCCTGTGCAGATGGGACTGGCTGGGCACCCCCTGCGCACCACAGCAGTCGGGCTCCTGACGGAGTACGTGGCAGGCCAGGCAGGGCCACCGAGTGGAGCACTCACCTCCCGTACCCATGTCCTGCCCACTAGGGACCGCCACATGCTCCCATGAAAGTGATGGGACACCGCGCATGGCTTGACACCAAGGAGGATGCCTCAGGCCACGGGGACTGAGGGCACGTGCGGGCCATGGCCAGAAACAGCCAGTGGCCGATAGAAAGCCCCTTGCCTACCCCAATCCCGTGCCACCTGGAACGCTGACCTCCCGCAGCCCCTTGCTCGTGCTCCTGCTGGGAGTGCCCGGGCCAGTGCCAGGAGCACGGCTGTCTGAGCACCCTCCCAGGAGGCTGCTCGGAGACACAATATTCCCGCATCCTGAGGCACGCAGCTGACTGGCAGTCTCTGCCCTCCGCCCCTGCTGTGCCTGGGCAGGGGGCGCGTGCCCAGTTTGGGTCCTTTGTTTTTTTGCGGTGCCAGTGACTGAGCCCCAAGCCTCACCATGGGATTGCAGTTAAAAGCTAACCCGTGAAAACCAAATCAGCTGAAGTTTCCCTTCCTCAGCCTGGAGGTCCCCCCCAACACCTGGCAGGTGCTCCTCCGCTGAGCAGAATCCTCCCTTTTTCTGTTTGAATTTGGGGGCCACACCCAGCAGTGCCCAGGAAACCCTCTGCAGTGCTGGGGTTTGAGCCAGGGTCACAGTGTCTTGACCTTTGCGCTGTCTCTCGAATCGAAATAAAAACAGGCCTGGGGAGGCGCCCACCTGGTCCCGCTCGCTGGCCACCTCGTCCATCTGCTGCAGGATGGCCTCAATGCGCTCCTGGTACATCTTGGAGTCCTTGCGCAGGGCCTGCACCTGTAGCTCCAGCATCTCCTTCTCCTCCTGGCACTGTGGGGACAGGGACAGCGTTCCCTGCAGGGCAGCTCCCGGCCCTGCACTGACCCCGACCCACGGCGATTGAGCAGTATGGGCCTGGGGGCCGAAGAGGGTCATCATGCAGCCACGGCGATCTCTGCCCTTGCCTGGTGCTCACCCGGCCACGCAGGGCCTCGGCCTGCCGCAGATCCTTACGCAGGGAGAAGATGGTGCGGGCCTGTTCCTGGCGGGCACGCAGGGCCTGGCGCCAGTCTTCCTCCGGCACCTGCATGTAGGGGCTGCCTCTGTCCAGCGGCCCTTCCTGCGGAGGAGAGGGGCCGGGCAGGGCAGCGGCCAGGCCGGCACCCCCTGCACCGGGGCCCGCGCAGCCGAGGCCCACCTGCGCGGCGGCCTCCAGCTCCTGCACACGGGCCTGCAGCAGCGCCTTCTCCTGCTGCAGCTCCCACAGGCGCTCGTGGCTGGGCCGCTGCTCCATGGCGTGCCGCAGCTTCAGCGTGTGCCTCCGCTCCACCGTGCAGTCGTCCTCGGCCTTCATGAGGCTGTGCTTGAGCCGGTCGATCTGTGTGGGGGCGGGGCAAGGGTCAGTGCTGCGGTCGGGCAGTGCTGCGGCCCGGGTCATGGCGGGCGGCGGGCACCTCGAGCTGCAGGTCCCGGTTGCGCATGAGCGCGGCGCCCTTCTCCTCGCTCTGGCGGGCCAGGCGCAGGGCCAGCTCGTAGTTCTGGTCCTTGCAGCGCTTCAGCTCGCGGCCGCCCGCCTCGCACTCCTGGCGCAGCCGCTGCACACGCTCCTGGTGCTTGCGCAGAAGGCTGTCCTTCACCCGCAGCTCCTTGATGAAGTCGTCCTTGGAGCAGAGCAGCGCCGACAGCTCCTGCACCTTCTTCTGCAGCTTCATCACCTCGCTCATGAGCAACTGCGTCAGGCCCGACTCCCCGGACGCGTCTGCGCACCCAGGGGCAGGTCTAGGGTCACTCGGTCCAGCCTCTGCCCCCGCCCTGGCTCTCTGTTGGGCATGACAATGGGGCGCAGTGGGCCACTCGGCCCAGCTGGGGACAGAGGTCCTGACGGAAAAGGCCTCCCAGCAGGATGCCCGTGGAGCAGGGGTCCAACAGGTCCCTCTCTTCGCCCCGCTGCGTCCTGCCCCTGGTCCATGGCAGGACAGCGCTCGCATTTGCATTCGCCCACAGACCCCGGAATAAGAGGGACCAGGTGTGCGCCGTGCACCCTCCGCCCCTGCCCTGTGCCCCGGATACCGTGGCTGAGGCCTCACCGATAATCATGGAGAAGACCCGGGTGGGCTCCTTGCCTGTGACCCTCTTGTAGAGCTGCGGGTAGTACAGCTCCAGGCTCTCGAGGAAGGCCACATAGCCCTTATGGCCAGTGCGCTGCAGGATGTCCAGGAGCACCCCTGCGAGCAAAGCCGGGTGGGGGCTCCAGGTGGGCGGGACTGCTCCTGGGGCGGAGGTCCCAGTGGGTGGGACAGATGGGTCAGACTCCCAGTGGCACCTGGCTTGGCTCCCGGTGCATTGGACGGTTAGACCGGCTCCCAGTGGAGCGTGGCTCCCTGGGGGAGCGGGGCTCCCAGTGGGCGGGACCGATGGGCAGGGCTCCCGGTGGGGTGGGGCTCCCGGTGGGCGGGACCGATGGGCAGTGTTCCCAGTGGCGTGGGGCAGGACTCCCCGAGGGGCGGGACTCCAGTGGACGGGACCGAGGAGGCCAGACTCCCAGCGGTATGGGGTGTGGCTCCCCAGAGGTGGAGGCCTGCTGGACGAGACTGATGGACCAGATGCCCAATGGCACGGGGCGTAGTTCCCCGAGGGGCGGGGCTGACTAGCCCCAGGCCCCGCCTCACTAACCCACTTTCCGCTTGCGAATGACCAAGTTGGGGTCGCTGAGCACCTGCTCCTCATCATCGGGGTTCAGGACCTTGCACTGCCGCAGATAGGGGGTGATGCGTGCGGGGTCGATGACAGAGATGAGCTTCACCCGGAATCCTTCCAGCACATTCCAGCACTCGTCATCGTTCTCGTAGTCAGACATGACTCGGCGCTGCGGCGTAAGGAGGGTGCTGACTGGTGCTGCCACCCAGCCGGGGCGCCCCATCAGCTCTCAGGCCACCCTGACCTTTCTCCGAGTCACCCGACAAGCCTGGGGGAGGAGTGGGGTGCTCCAGCCTGTGCCCCCGCTTTCCGTGATGTTATGGGGTTGTGGGGAAGGGCCCTCTCCGGGGAGGAAGTGTGGCCGAGAAGGCATCCCGCGGCAGCAGCCCTGGCTTGGCCCGCTGCGGGGACTTCCTCATTCCCTGCAGCTGCCTCCCTGCCTTCCTGCACCTGGTGAGGCAACTGGCGCCCAGTAGCTGGCCAGGCAGCCTGCGTGCATCGGGGACGTCCTGGGAAGGAGTGTGTCACCCACGGCTGCCGGGAATGCTGCTCTAGCACCTCCGCCCGGTTCCCAGCGGGTGCCACTGTTTGGAGCCTGCCTGCTTCCAGCAGACAGGAGGCCTGGGCCGCCCCGCCTCAGCCTCAGCTGACACCTGGTGTGGTTGGGCAGGCGACGGCAGTTCCGTGACCAACCGGTGCCAGCCCAGGCCTGCAGTGGGTGACCCTGTGGCGGGGGGGGGCTGTTCTGGGGAAGTCTGGCCCACTATTGCCTTTGGAGCTGAAAATCCACACCCCCAACCCACCACCCTGAGGCTCCTGCCACCAACGCGAACAAGCAGGTACTGGTACCAGGTAGCCAGGAGAGCAAACGGGGCATTCCCTAGCCACCAGCACCCCAGACCCCTTTCTTCGCAGGGCTCCTCCAAAGCCGAAGCCAGTGTCTTCCCACCACTGCCCGATCAGGGCCTACCTGGGGTCCTTGGCCACTGAGGGACAGGCAGCAGGCTGGGGACAGGTGGTAGCCTCCTGGCTCTTTCTGCGTTCTCTCCTGATGGCACCCAGGCAGCCTCCCACGGGGACGCTCTGGGGCCGGATTTGCCAGCCGAGGAGAGGCGGGGCCCAGGGAAGTGGAAGTGGAGGCTGAGGAAAGCGGTGTGAGGCCACCCAGCCTCCCTGCCCAGGCAGATGCCTGGCTTCCGGAAGCACTGCAGCAGGGTGCGCCCAGCACAGCACCCCACCTACAACAGTCCTGGTGGCAGCACAGGGATGCCTCGTGCAGCCGAGTAGCCTCAGGTTGCCCCAGGGGGTGGGAGGGCACAGAAATTGCAGCCGGGAGGGCGCATGCCTTGCACTGAGCCCACCAGGATTTGATTCCCAGCACCCCAAACGGTTCCCCCAGCCACCAGGAGTGATCCCTGAGCAGAGCCAGGTGTGGCTCCAAAATTAAAAGAAAAAGGTGGGCAGGGGCTGTAGTCACCCCTTCCGGGGCTTCTCAGCTACCTCCAGAAGCACGTTCACCACAGGCCACAGCCGGGGCCATGCCTCCAGCCTCGGCTGCCAACGCCTTGTGCGCGGCTGTGCCAGATTGGGCTCAGTCACTTGCTAGGGGTTGGGGCACCACCGGGCACTTGAATTTGGTGGCCATGCAAGTTCCCAAGGAAGTGTCCAGAGACACAGATTTGGGGGTGGCCGCACCTTGGCGGGAACCTACCCCCCCTCCAGAGTGCCCTGATGCTACTAGTCACAGCAAAGAGGCACTGCTCAAAGCCTGCGTGCTGCCTGTCTCTGCGAGGCAGGACCCCTGTGGCTGCTGGCCCTGCCGGGGAGAGGGGGGTGGCCCCCATCCAAGTGTGATGGGGAGTGTGGCTCCCAATGGGCGGGACTGACGGCCCAACTCATGAGGAGGAGGCAAGGCAGTGGCCAGACAGGACTTGCTTTATTCCCACGCCCGTCCTCCAGACTGTACAGGGCCTCCCGGCGGGAAGGGCCACCTCAGCCAGCAGTGGTGCCCTGTGCCGGCAGTCCCGAATGCTGAGCTGCCACGCTGCAGGTGCAGTCCCAGGTGCAGTCCCGTGCACAGGCTCCGGTGAGCTGAGGGGTAGGGCCGGGCTCCTGGAGTCCAGAGAGGGACAGTGAGGTCTGAGCGTGGGCACCAGGTGGGGCAGAACCTCCAGGCCCCCTCCCCCGCCCTGCCTGAGGGTCCCAACGTACCCAGTGCTCACACCAGCCTCCTGCGCTTACGGGCTTGCCTGCTCCGCCGCTCATCCCCATCGTCACAGGCCTCCATGGCGCCAGGGGCAGCGTCCAGTGCGCTCTGCAGAGGCCAGGGGCTGGAGTCAGGACACTTGGCCCGTGCCCAAGGCAGGGACATGCACCAGGCCCATTGCACAGGGCCCAGATGCAGGCCAGGTGTGTGCGTGAGCAGCGCGTGGTCCGCTGGAGATTGCCTGGGCCCCTGCCCAGGGCTGGGATGGTGTTAGAGGCCAGGAGCCACACAGCATCCTGGGTGGGCCCCCCCAGTGCACCCAGCCCTCTGGAAGATGGGTGTGAGTGCTCCCAGGGGACACCCCTTCCCCACTTCCTGAGATTCCTGCCTAGAACCACATTGCCCACCGCTTCCTCCTCCGAAGGCTGCCCAGCCCTGGCCAGTGCCCCTTCCCGTGGGGCGGGACCGTGGGCCAAGCCAGACACGGGTGGGTGGAGTCAGGCATGGGGTGGGCGGGGCTTGCCCGCAGGCGGGGTCGGCTGACACCGCCTACCTCTCCAGCTGTGGTCGTTCTGAGGCTGGCCAGGGACTCCATCTCCCCATGCTCATTGTACTCCTCCTCCTCCTCGGTCTCAGGGTCAGCCCTCGACAGTGTGGTGGGGACGCCGCGAGGGGGCAGTGTGGCCAGCAGCGCTGGAAGGGTGAAGGCGGCCAGGAAGCGGGCCCTGAGCAGCTGGTAGGCAGGGTTGCACTGCAGCCGTGCCCGCACCTCTGCCAGCACAGTGGGCAGTGCCCTGCTGGGTAGCAGGGAGGCGGCCTGGTGTTCCAGCGCTGCCTTGTGCAGGAGAAGGCCAGTCAGCACCCGCAGGCCACACAGGGCCGGGGGCTGGTAGGGCAGCAGGCGACCCAAGGGGGACGCGCATACCCCCCGCCGCCCGGCCAGCCACTCCCGCACCGCAGCCTCAGTCTCCAGAGACAGCAGGCTCAGTTCTAGAGCCCCCTTCTCCGGTCCAGGCTGGGGGGGCTTCTCCAAGCCCTGAGGTCCCTGGGTGGTGGCTGGAGTTCCGCCTGCCGGTGGCAGCCCACAGCCCAGATGCTCGGCAGTGGGGTGGCTGGCTGTGGGAGAGGGTCCCGGGTCTGCAGGGGCCTCTCTGGCACGTGTCCGGTCCTGTCCCCCTTCCTCAGGGCTCTGGGGAGCATCAGTCCTGGGCAGCTCTGGCCCTGGCTCTGTGCTGCCTAGAGGTGGTTGCGGTTGGCTTGGGGCAGGGGCATTGGGCGAGGGCGACAGCTGAGCGAGCAGTAGTCCTTTGGGGTCAGAGGTCGCTGCCAGCCTGGGCAGGCCCAGCACGGTGGGCACAGGCAGCAGCCCCTGAGTAGCGAAGACCCAGGTGACGGGCAAGGGGACGCTGGTGGCCCTGTGGGGCCTGGCCTTGGGCATGCCCAGAACCTGGCTAGGCGGCTGTGCAGGGCTGGGGGTGGCCGGGAGGAAGGGCGGTGGTCCGGGTAGTCCCTGCTTCCGGCACGCAGTGGGGACCTGGGACTGGCTGGGGGACCCCGGCGGGAGTTGGCTGGGGGCCCAGGCTGGGAGCCCTGAGGTCTGTGGCAGGGAGGGCGACTCTGTTTGCCTGGGGCCTACTGTGCTGGGGGCGGCCAGGGTGAGCAGCAGGGGCGCGGCCAGTGTGGGGCCCTGGGCAGCCCTGCAGGCACGTGCCTCCCGTAGGCGCTTCTCCCGCAGCAGCTCGCTCACAGTCTTGAGCTTGGGCCGTGGCCCGCAGGGCACAGCCGGAGCGGGGGCTGCAGCCTGGGGTGCCCCGGCCCTTCTGGGCTTGCTCCTTGAGGCCTCTCGGGCGGGCACTTGTGGGGAGCAGCCACCTACAGGGAGGGCAGAGTACGCAGTGAGCACTGGACACGGCCACACCAAGGAATGTCCCCGCTGGGCACAGAGCAGTGGGTGCGGGAACAGAGGACAGTGGAAACCATGGACATGGCCGGGACCAGTACCCGGTGGGGAGAACCCCCAGCCCAGGACAAACCTGCTTTGATTTGGCCCACGGGGAACATGGGACACTACGAGGAGTCCAGTGGGGTGCCTGGGGCCAGGCTGTGTGGCCCTCACTCCCCTACCTGTACGGGGAGTCCAGCGGGGGTGCCCCGGGGGCCAGGCTGTGTGGCCTCCACCCGCCCACCCGAGGACAGCGCAGGGAGAGGAAGCGGGCAGGGAGAGAAAGCGGAAGTACCTGGGCTGTCCTGGGTACTTGGGGGCACCTGCAGGAGGGGAGAGAACAGCGACTCAGGTTCCGTTCCCACAGTCCCTCCCCACCCCCCGTGAGGCAGCAGCCCGCAAAGGCTCTGGGAGCAGCTGAGGGGCCTGAGGAGCGGGCGGGGAGTGGCGTCACCTGTGTGGGCGCTGGCGCCTTCCTCTCCCGCACCACCTCCAAGCAGCCGGCAGCGTCGATCTGGAAGAGCTGGTCGGGAAGCGTGCGGTCAGCGTGCTGGAGCAGAGCCCCCGGGCCCCAGCCCGAGCCCAGGACTTGCCAGCCCCCTGCCCGGGGCCCTGGGGCCACACCTGGATGAGGAGTGTGAAGACCGGCGTGCTGGGCAGGCGGGCATCCTGCAGCTGCACCCGGACGCTGTCAGCTGTGGGGACAACCCAGGCGCTGAGACCTGGGGGCCTCCTCCCCCCCGCCCCGAGGGCAGCGAGCTGGCCCGAGGCTGAGGCCAGCGCTGGGTCCCCCCACTTTTTCTGTTTTGGGCCACAGCCGGTGCTGCCTGGGGCTTACTCCTGGGGGTGAGGGATGACCACACAGGTGCTGAGTCAAGACCCTCCCCTGTTCCTGTCCACCTGGCCTGCCCTCTCCCTGCAGGGCCAGACCTTCGGTGCGCAGGGCCTGTCTGTGAGGTGCCAGGGGCAGCGTGACGTCGCCCACCCATGGGCTCACGGCCATCAGCAGCTGGCGGTGCAAGAGTCTCTGGTGCAGGGTGCGCCCCCCCTGGAGAGCCCTGGGCCACGGCTGCGGCACACACGGGCGGGCAGAGCTGCTCAGCTTCTGCTTCTGTCAGGAGATGGGTCCTGGGCTCAGCCAATGGCTCCCTCGCCCCCCCCCCCCCCCCCCCCGCCCCGGGCTGAGCCGGTACCAGCATCCGGCGCCGGGCTGCCGTGTTACTCTCCAGCACGCGCAGCACCGTCTCCCGCGGCACCTTCTGCTGGCACTGGTCCTTCTGAAGGAGACCCTGGGCTGCTGGGTACCGCAGGAGTGTGCCCCCTGTTCCCAGCCATGAGCTCGGGGCTCTGACCCACCTTGTCCGCCAGCTCCTCTCGGCTCTCGGGGCTCAAGTCTGTGGGGCCAGGGGATGCCCCGGGGGCCGTGGGCACAGTTCCGCGGCTGCCACCAGGGGCTGGGCTGGAGGCACTGGCCAACCGTCCACTCCCCCGCTCAGCGAGGCCCCTCCGGGCGGGCACCCACAGGGCCAGGTCTGGGACAGGGTGCTGGGCCGGGCCTCCTGTCCTGGCTTGTGGGGCCTCCTCTGGCTCCGAGTCCTCACAGCTCCTGTGGCTACTGTCCACGCTGCTGTCCATGCTGCTGTCCATGCTGCTGTCGGAGCTGGAGCTCCAGCGCACTCTGCACCGGGGCCGCCGCCGCCGCCGCCGCACCTGGCTCTGCTTCTGCCGGGGCGAAGGCGCCGCGCTGGTCAGCAGCGGCAGGTCGCCCCGCCCCCTCCCTGCACGGCCAGCGCCCCGCGGGCTCACCCGGGCCATGATCTTCCACTTGCTAAGGCACTGCGAGCCCGTGCGCTGGGGCAGCTCAGACGCGATTTTTGCCCAGTTGCCTGGAGAGCAGAGAGCAGCGAGGTGGCCCAGCGGCCTGACGGGCTGGGCTGGACACCCCCCAGAAAGGCCGCTGCAGGAGGCTCCTGCTGCCCCAGTGACAATGACCGAAAGCCAATCAGAATCCAACATCGGGGTCTCAGCAGCAGCACAGAGCCCGCCTCACATGCGGCCACCAGGGCTCAGTCCGGCACCCTACTGGTGCCCCCGCCCGGCCTGCGCTCACCTACGCCGTATTTCCCGATGAGCTCCAGGAGCTTCCCCTCTTCCCTGCAGTCCCACCGGCCCTTTTTCAAGCTGAAATGCAGCCTTCGGAGGTACCTACAGATGACAAGCGAGGGTCTTTGGCCTCGGGGCAGACGCTGGGTGTGGGGGACCCCGAAACACACAGAGCAGGAGCCTGACGCAGCCCCAGCAGGGCCGGGACACGAGGCCCATGGGAGCAGCTGGCTGGTCTCCAGCCCGGCGACGCCCCAAGGCCCCACTCACCGGTCTCGGCACTGGGCATCGCTCCGGCCTGGCACCTCCTCCCGGATCTTGAACCAATCCTGCTCCCCGTATTTGGCGACGGCCTGGAGCAGCTTCTGTGGGCACAGCCAGAAGCAGCCCGTCTGCGACAGCTCCGACCCCAGCAGGAGAAGGGTCTGTGGCGGGGACACGTATGGGGCCCTCGGGGCAGGACAGCATGGGGCCCTTGGGCAAGACAGCACAGGGCCCTTTGGGGCAGGACAACACAGGGTCCTTAGACCGGACAACATGGGGCCCTCGGGGCAGGACAGCACGGGCCCTCCCCTCGGGAGGACTCACAGCGTCCTCCTCGGGGGCCCAGTAGCCCTTCCTCAGGCGTGGGTCCAGGCTCTTGGTCCAGCGGTAGATGAGCTGCATCGAGTCTCGGCCTTCCATGTAGTAGACGACTACGGACAGGCAGCCGGGGTGTGGTGTGGGCCCAACAGCACCCCTGTGGCCAGGCCCTCACTCTGGCGCCCCCTGGCATTGGGCACCCCCACTCACTGCGGCGGTAAGGCACGTGGCTGCCCACACGCATCTCCTGCACCAGCTGCGTGAGCATGCGGTCCTCCTCTTCTGTCCATTCCCTGCGCTTCAGCGCCTTGTTGTGCTGCTGGTACTTCTGCAGGCACTGGAAGGCACTGCGGTGGGTCTGCGGGGCAGGCGGGCGCTCAGCGGGGACAGCCAAGGCCCACCCAGGGTCTGTGTGTGCCCTGCGTGCCCTGGGAGGATGGGCAGGTGCACACGTGTACACGTGTTTGCGGGTGCCTGTCTGTAAACCCACACGTTTCTGTGTGTGGAGCCATGGGGAGGGTGGATGGATGGCAGCCTCTAAAATGACGAGCATCACGGTGCTCTGGGGACGGAGACTGCGGAGCAGAACCCACCACCGGAGGCAATGCCATGGCCAGCCAGGCCCGGGCAAGGCATCCTGGCAGCACCAACAACCAGGGCAAGGGACAGGGACAGACCCGGGATGCCGAGCAGGGAGGGCGGTGTCAGGGCAGGAGAGCTGACAAACCACCCAGGAGGATGAGTAGCCGAGACCCCAGGAGGCGAGGAACAGAAGCCCTGGGCACTGAATCCGAGCTTGGGGGGGTCACAACAAGTGAAAGTGTTGGTAATTTCCCCCGGCGGGGCACAGGCAGATTCCAAGGGGACGCACAGGTCCCCAGCATCAAGGCCCCAAGAACAGCAGCCAGTGTGGGGCCCTGCTCCGGGACCCCCGGGCCTCCCAGCCAGAAGGGCCTTACCCCCAGCTCCTCAGCAACCTTTTGCCACTCCAGGTACCCGTGTCGGGCGGCGATGGCCATCAGCTGGTCGACTTCTGGCCTGCTCCAGTCCTGTTTGTTGATACTGGGGTGCTCACAGTTCTGCCAGAACTTCCGGATCTCCTCAGCGCTGCGGCCCCCTTCAAACTGAACCACAGATGGGCTGTGCTGTGGTGCCCGCTGGCTGGGCGTCAGGGGCACGCACCACCCAGCACGGCCACGTGCTGCCCACTTACACTGATATTGGAGATCTTCTCCCAGTCGTGGCTGTCCAGCCTGTGCCCCAGCAGGACCTCCTCGGGCAGCTGGCTGCGGAGCGGAGACGGGGCTGACCCCCACGTCCTGCATATCTTTCTCCAGCCCCCTGCCCGCCCCACGTCCCCCACGTCCTCCCGCCAGCCCGCTCACTTGATCTCCTGCACCTCCTTCTCCGCCCCCCGAGCCTGCTTCTCCAGGGCCAGCTTCTCAGCCTCGCTGCCAGCCTTGCTCTGCTTCTGCTGCAGGTACTCGAGTCTGTAAGCAGCATAGGAGGGCCGTGGGTGTGGCAAGCTGGGGGCTGGTTCCAGTGCCCGCTTGCCGGCCCGTGGGCGACAAGAACCCGAGCCTGCCATCTGCAGATGTCACAATGGAGCCGGCGCCCCCGGCTCTGAGCTGGGAGTCCCCGTCCCCATCCAGCGTCTGGCACCCAGAGTCCGAGCCGGAGCAGGCTGGGTGTGGCCTGCAGCAGTGACCTCCAGCTGAGCCAGGCACCTCAGACCCAGCTGGCATTACCCGAGCCTCACAGGAGCCCTCCACCGACCACACACCAAGCCCTTACGAGCGATACCGGTAATCGCGGCTCCCAGACCCCAGGGAGAGGGCCAGGCCAGCAGGGACCGGGAGTGGGGCCATTCCCGCCCCAGCCCTGCGGTCACGCACCAGCCCGCCTGGTCTCTGCCGCCGGGACTCACTTCAGTAACTTGGGCTGGAGCAGGCGCTGCAGACGGTCACTCACCACAGCCTTCCGGAGCAAGGCCTTCTCCCAGCCCTTCCCTGCCGAGACAGGACACGGGCTCCCGCACGGCCCCTCCTGGCCCCCCACCAGGCGGGCAGAGCAGCAGCTGCGGGTGGCACCAGCACAAGCACTTACACTTGGTCACCAGGAGCTGCTCGAACGCCTTGATGCCCTGGGCAGACTTGTCCCTCGTGTCCTCATTGGCGGGTGGCCCCTGTCGGGGACACGGTGTCACAGGGACAGTCCCCAGGGGTGCCCAGCAGCCCCGTCCCAGCGGACTCACCATGCCCGTGACCCTGTCCTTGAAGTAAGGCTTCAGAAAGTGGCCGATGTACATGTTCGGGGGCAGGCCGCGGCCGTCCTTCACTCGGGGGCCCTTGGAGCCAGCCAGGCCCCACGTGATCTCTTCCTGTGGACAGAGCACAGGCACACAGTGAGGGGCCAGTCATGAGCATGCTGGTCATGGTGTCCCGGTGCCCGGCCCTTCTACCTGCTGCTCCCGGTTCTGGGCCAGCAGCAGGCTCAGCTCGGCCAGCTTCTCGCGCACCACCTCCTGGTACACCAGGTTCAGCTGCAGACACGTCTCGGGGTCCTCAGCGAGGGTCTTCTGGGCTCCCCCCCATCTCTCCTCCTCCTGGGCACAAACAGGAACTTAAGGATTTAAAAACAAACGGGGCTCCCCAGCCTGGCCACCTCTGCACCCCTCCGACTCTGCTCCATGGAAGGACGTCCGGTCCAAGGCGGAAGGGCTGACCCAGCCTTGACTATGTGCTTGTCCCTCTGCCGCAGGCGCAGCCCGGAGAGACCGGGCAGGGCAGCTGGCAGCCTTGCCCACATGCCCAAGACAGCACAGGGTCAGCCCACCAGGACTAAACCACAAGCATTGCTAGGACCGGCCCCAAAAACCAAACAGAAAAAACTGGAAACCACTGCCCACTCTGTGGAGGGCACACATGCTCCTGAGCTCTGTCCAGCATCACTGCACAGCCCCCACGGGAGCGTGCGGACAAGTATCCCAAGTGGACCAAGGTCGCCGGTGAAGTCCCAGGGCGTCGACTGTCCACACAAGGGGACCATAGGGAAGACTGTGTTGTCCCCACTGCACCACCCAGATGTCCAGTCAGCAGCAGTGGCTGTTCTGGGGGACAACGAAGACCCCGACACTGACACTGGGGCCATCTCTGTGGGCCTGAACTTACTGAGCTCCGGGGCTCTGCCGCGTCTGAGTCCTCGCTGGGGGGCGCATCTGCGGGCACAAGCACAAGGTGTGGGGGCTACATACAGAACAGCAGGCAACAGCCCCACAACACACACACCCAACCCCAGGCAGAGCGTGCGTGCGTGCGTGCGCGCGCGCGCACACACACACACACACATGAGCAGAGTGCACACACATACACACACCTGGACAGAGCGCACACACACACTCAGGGTGTGCGTGCACACACACACAGAGGAACATACACCCAGGCAGAGTACATACACGCATGCACGCACAAGCAGAATACACACATACGCACACACACCCCACAGGGACAGAGCACAGATACACAGAGGCACAGACACACACACAAACCCCGCCGGGCAGAGTACACACACACACACACACACACACACACACACAGACACAGACACACACAGGGCCGCACTGAGCAGACGCGCTGGTGCCTGCAGGAGGCCCAGGCCCACACAGCCCGGCTTCTGGGCGCCGAAGCAGGCCGGGCTCGGGGAAGTACCGGCGTCAGAATCCGACCCGAGGCTCGAATCGGAGACGTCCACGCTGAGGCCGGTGGCGCCGGGGTCCAGGATCCTCTCCAGCTCCCGGATCTCCCTGGCGATCTGCTCCCTCTCGGCCGCCGCGTCCATGGCCCAGCCTGCCTGCGAAGCGGGGGTGGTCAGAGGCGGCCGGCCGGGGGTCCGCGGCGCTCACGGCCCGGCGGGGGTCCCGGGCGGTGCAGGGCAGAGACGCCCGAGCCTGTACGCAGGCGGGCGCGGAGCGCTGGGCAGGAGCGTCGCGGCCCCCGCACGGCGCCCGCGGGGTCAACGCGCCCCGCCTCGAGCCCGCCCGCCTGCCGGGAGCGCTCACCCGCCGGCCGCCGCACCGACTCACGCCGCGACTGGCCCACGCCGGTAGCTGCTCCGGACTCGGCGCTGTCAGCCGGAAGTCCCGCCCCTCCCCGGCCCGGAAGTCCCGCCCGAGCCCCGGGAAGCCCCGCCCCGTGCAGGGAGTCCCCGCCCCTGGCGCGGGGCACGCCGGGAAGCGACGGCCGGAGGCTGGTGCTGCCCCCGCGCGGGCGCCCCGGGATCCGCTTCTCCTCGCGGTGACCCTGCGGTGACCCCGGCCTGTCTGAGGGTGGGTCTGAGCGCTGCCCAGACCGAGTGACTCCAGGATCAGACCCGGGGAGCACCGGGATGCTCCCGGGGGTGCCTTCTGCGCCCTGCCTGGTCGTGCGGCACCTGCCCATGCCGACCCAGCAGCTGTAGAACACCGGGCACCCCTCCCTGCACCCCACCAGGCCCCTCCCTGCTGCCCCACCAGGCCCCTCCCCCAGACCTCTCCCTGCTCCCCATAGAAACCCCCCTCCCCCAACTTTCCCTGTTCTGGAGGCTCGGCTGAGGCAGAAGCTCAGACTTCTCCCCCATCCTTCCCTGCACACTCCAATGACCAGTGGTCATCAGGGCTGGGTGGCAATTTTACCTGAGCTCAGAGCACAGTGGTTGCATCATCCAAATATCTTTAGTGTTAAGCACAAGACCCTAGGCGTGCTCCAAGAGAAGGGACCTGGTCAGCCTCTCCTGACCAGGATCCACAGCCCCAGCAGCCTAGGACAGCCAGGTTCCAGCACAGCTGCCCAACAAAGAACGGACTACATGTTTGTGTGCACAAATGGCGGAATTTATTAGGTAAGGTGTCAGTGCAAACGAGGGGAAAAGAAGTGTACTTAAATTAGCTGCAGAAAGACAGCCAGAAGGCACGTGCGCAGGAACCTCCATGGGGGCAGCGGCTGAATCAACAGGTGCACAAAACGCCATTTGCGTTGGGTCAGCAGCAGTGCTGGGATCTGAAGGCCACCTGGCGGCACACCTGTGCCTGCACTGAGGTGGGCTGGCTGTGAGAAGGGGGGGGACCTCGCCCAGCCCCAGCCCACTCTGGTCCGTGGTTCTTTCTACCCAGGAGTCTGCAGGGTGTCAGGACACTTAAACTGCCATTTTCAAGCTGAACTCCAAGGCCGCTGGCTGCCCTGATGGATTCACAAGCTCACCCCAACAAATGGCTTATCAGGACCACACTCGGCTGCCCACAGTACTACTCTCGGTGATGGAAGGGCAGTTACGAGAACACTACAGGAAAGCCTGCGGATCACGGCGTTCTATCCGGGTCGCTCAGGAGCAAGTCTGGATGGGAACAGCTCCCAGCCAAAAGCAGTCAAGACTCTTCTTCCTCCTCGTTCTCCTCCTCTTTGATCTCAGAAATCTTGTCTATGGATTTCAGGATTTCAGCAACAAGATTCAACTTCTCAGCTCCAGAAATAAGCTGCCTACAACAACAAGCACATTAGGAGCAGCTTCAGGTGCTCAGAAGCACCGAGTGGCCTGTGCCAGGGAGGCGCTGCAGAGCACAACCCCCTCAGAGCCACAGCTGCGACTGGGGTTTCTAGGTCCCACCCGGCGTGATCAGGCCTTTCTCCTGGCTCTGTACTCAGGAATCATTCCCACTGGTGCTTGGGGGACCATCTGAGGTCCCAGGGATTGAACCCGGGTCAGTCCCATGCAAGGCAAGCGCCCTCCCTGCTGTATGATTGTTCTGGAGCCAAACTGCAGACTTTAAGCGTCTTCCTTAGGTTCACCCACAGGCGACCCGGACTCAGCCCACCTCCGGTACTAATCACTGCCCAGGCCCTGCTGGGCGCCGCCGCCCGGAAGGGGTCAGGGAGTGTCTCCTCGTTAGGATTCTTTCAAAATCTGCATCTCAGGACCTCAGGCCAGTCGCACCAGAGGAGGTGGGTGAACCCTCCCAGAGGTGGAGTAAAGGCACCGCTGCCCCAGCAGACACGCACTTAATGGAGGTGTGTGCGTTGCTCATGACCAGGCGGAGATTCTGAAGAGCCGTGTCCGTGTTCTGCCTCACCACTGTCAGGCTGGCACCCTCGCCCGAGCGCAGGGCTTCGTTGTCAAGCTTGAGGTTAGAGACCTGTATCTAGGGGGGGTGGCTGGTTCAGAGACCTGTACCTGGGCTGGTCAGACTCGTACCTGAGGGGGGTGGTCAGACCCATACCTGGGCGACTGATCAGACCCATACCAGGGGGATGAGTCAGACCTGCCTGGCGGGAGTGGGGATGTGGGGGGGAAGGAGTGTCCGAGTGTCCCATGTAAACTGTTCGGGGGTCCCAGTGTAGGTGCCATGCCGTTTCCTTCAGGAACCGGAACCCGCTTCGCAGCCAGCAGAGCGCAGTTACCTGGAGCAGACTCATCTCCTGCTTCAGTTTCAGCACCTGGTTTTCTGCCTTCATGGCCCGTTTCTGCCCCAAGAGAGAGCAGAGTCAATGTGGGCCCTGCAGCTCGCTTGCCCCCCCCCCCCCATGAGCCCCCCCCCCCCCCCCCCCCCGCCACCGCACCGTCATCAGCTCTAGGTTCTGCTCCACCTGCTGGACCACGGACTCCAGGTCGTGGTAGTCGCTCTCCTCCTTGGCCATCTTCGCCTCCAGCTTCCGCTCGAGCGTCCTCACCCTCAGCACACAAGAAAGGGTGGGGTGAGAAGTTGGGGCTCCCCTGAGCCGGCCCCAATCGAATGAGGGCCCTGGGCGCCCTGAAGGAGCAGGCGCAGGGGCCTGGGAGGGGCAGATTCGCAAGTGACTGGGACACAGGCCAAGGCACGCGGAGCCCGGGGAGCGGCCTAAGAGCTTACATACATTTCCGTTTGAGTTTCAGAGAAGCTTTGAACCTCAGTCAGTTTTCTTCTGAGCTTAGAATTTTCCTCTTTCAGCTGTAGAGAGAGAAAACCCTGATTACACGTGGGCCGTGCCAGGCTGTGGCTGGAGCAGGTGCGGCTGGGCAGGAGGCGGCCGCCAGCTCTGTCCTTTGACAGGACGCTGGGCTCCGGGCTGCTCGGCCCTCCTGAATGCAGGTGCTGCTCAAGTCTCCACTCGGAACATGGGACCAGGCGCCGAAGGAAGGGCTGCCCGGGGCCCCAGAGGGAAGCCCCTCATCCCGCTGGCCCCCACTCACTGCCTCGTAGCTGATCTGCAGCGCTCGGAGGTGCCGGTCTCCTAGGGACTCTCTGTGGGTGAAGTCGCCGGGGCTCCCCGTGGGTGAGATGCAGGCGTCAGGGTCCCCCAGAGTCCAGGAGGGCAGGCACTCGGGCCCAGGGCTCAGCTCGGATGGGGAGAAGAAGGACACATACTCGCTGCGGGGGGACGTGTTGGCGGCTGCGCGTGCGGGCCGGGCCTGCTCCAGGGAAACCGGCAGGTAGGCGCCGGCCCAGCTGTCCTCATCGTCGTCATCGTCCTCATCCAGAAGGTCGCCAGCCCCCGTCAAGTCTTCGAAAAACGACTGCTGGTACTCTAGGCCGTAGCTCATGGTTTGGGAAGTTGGGGAATCCAGGCCGAGGCCCAAGGAGTGCCCCGGGACGCCCTGCGGAAGGCCGAGGGCTGGGCTCAGCCCGGAGGGCCCGACCCCTGATCCTTGACCCCAGATGCCCCGCGGGCCCAGCTTGCCTTGGTGTAGGGCCTGCTGGGCTCCTCGTCCAGCAGCCCCAGGTTCTTGGTCTTTAGAAACTCCTTGAAGGAGAAGGGATTCGCCTCTTCCAAATCTTCCAGTTTCTCGTCTGAAATACGCACGGCTGGAGCTCTCGGGGTGGCTGGACAGAGGGTCGCCCTTCCGGAAATGCAGCCCAACCTCCTGTCCCCAGTGTGCCCTGAGCCCTCACTGGCTGGATGCCACCCCCAGCCCCGTGCTGCAGCTGGGCAGCCTGAAGCCCAACTGGCCAGGTGGGCGCCACCTGTGCTGGCCCGGGGAATCCCCAATCCTGGACCCAGAGCCCTCTGGGGTCCTCCCTCCGACCCAGGCGGAGAGGGAGGGTCCCCACCTCGCTACCTCCAAAATGTGTCTCCAGGGGGCCCAGTGTCGTCTTCAGACCTTTTCCCTTCCCATAGTCAAAATCTGCAGACACAGTGGCCATCCTGAGCAGGCACCCAGAGGGTCGCTGAGGCCCAGTGCAGGGACCCTCCAAGGCACCCCATAAGGACCACCGGCGCTGGACACCCCCAGTGCCCTGGGTTGCCATGAGCCTGAGATTTTGGCGTGACCACCATAAGCCAATGGGGGGCATGTGAGGCAGCTTGTGGGGGAACGTGGGGTCACCGGGTAGTACGGGGGGAGAGTGGGGTCACTGGTCGGTACGAGGAGTGTGTGGGGTTATCGGACAATAGAGGGGGGAAGTGGGGTCACCAGTCAGTACAGGGGGAGTGTAGGGTCACTGGTCGGTACCAGGGTTGTGGAATCACTGGTCAGTAAGGGGTAGTGCGGGATCACTTGTCAGTAAGGGGGGGATTGTGGGGTCACTAGCCAGTACGAAGAGAGTGTGAGGTTACCAGATAGTACAGGGGGGAAGTGGGGTCACCAGTTAGTACAGGGGTCACTGGTTGGTACCAGGGCCTGTGAGGTCACCAGTCAGTATGGGGGGAGTGTGGGGTCACTGTTGAATACCAGGGGGGTGGGGTCATTGGCCAGTACCAGGAGGTGTGGGGTCACCGGGCAGTACGGGAGGGAAGTGTGGTGTCACTGGTCAGTACAGGGGGAGTGTGGGGGTCACTGGGCAGTACAAGGGGGAGTATGGGGTCACCAGGCAGTACGGACTGAGTGTGGGGAATACTGGGCAGTACTGGGGGAGTGTAGGTTCACCAGTAAAGGGTAGTGTGGGATCACTGGTCAGTACAGGGGGATTGTGGGGTCACTGGTCAGTATGGGGGGAGAGGGAGTGTGGGGGTCACCAGTCAGTACTGGGCGTTGTGGGGTCACCGGGTAGCACTGGGGATATGGAATCACTGGTCAGTACGTGTGTATGGGGCCACTGGTCATTGTGGGGGGGGGGTACTGGTCAGTATGGGAGGGGGTGTGAGGGGGGTCACCGGTCAGTACTGGGGGGTGTGGGGCCACTGGTCAGTACGGGGGTGGGGGAGTGTGGGGCTCCCAGTCAGTACAGGTGCGTATGGGGGGGGTCACTGGTCAGTATGGGGAGAGCGTGGGGTCAAAGGGCAGTACGGGGGGGGGAGTGTGGGGTCTCCGGGCAGTACGAGGGGAGTGTGGGATCACTGGTCAGTACTGGGGAATGTGGGGCCACCAGGCAGTACGGAGGGTGGGGGAGTGTGGGGCTCCCGGACAGTACGTGTGTGGGGGGGGTCACTGGTCAGTAGGGGGGGGCGGGGGGGGGTGAGCGTGGGGTCACCGGGCAGTATGAGGGGAGTGTGGGATCACTGGTCAGTACCGGGGGGTGTGGGGCCACTGGTCAGTACGTGTGTGCGTGGGGTCACTAGTCAGTACAGGGGGGTAAGGTGGGGGTCACTGGTCAGTACTGGGGAGGGGGAGTCACCGGGCAGTACAGGGGAGTGTGGGATCACTGGTCAGTACCGCGGGTGTGGTCAGTACAGAATAAGGGTGTGGAGTCACTGTCAGTATGGGGTGGGGGGAGGGTGGGGCCACCAGTCAGTCCGGGGGTGTGTGCGGGTGGGGGTGGGGCGGTCCGTACGTGTTAGTGGTCACCGGTCAGTCCGAGGGGTGTGCGGTCGCGGTCAGTCACTATTGGACACGGGGTGGGTCGCCGGGTAGCACGTGGGCTGCGGGGTGGCGGCCGACCCTCACCTGCGTCCGACGCCGCCGAGGCCAGCGCGGGGCCGGGCACGTAGCACATGAAGGCGGGTCGGGGGCCGGGGCCGGGGTCGGGGTCGCGGCCGCGGGGCCGCTCGCAGTCCAGCTGGGGCAGGCAGGGCCGGCGCTCGTAGAAGGCGGGAGCTGCGGGGACAGGGACACTCAGCGCCCGGCCGGGCGGGGCCTGCCCGGCCCGGCCGCCGCTCACCGTCCGGGACGACGAGGCTGCGGGCCCGCGCCAACGGGGGGACGCCCGGGCGGCGCGCGTAGCCGGACATGGCGCGGCTAGCCCGGCCGCGGCCGCCGCATGGCCCCGGCTCCGGCCGCTCGGCCGCCGCCGCCGCTCCCGCTCCGCGTACCGGAAGCGCGCGCCCGAACGGAGGCCGCGGGGGCGGGGCTCCGGCGGAAGCGGAAGTGACGACACGGCGCGCCGCCTGGAGGCCGCGGGCGGGGTCTGCGGCGGAAGCGGAAGTGACGGCAGAGGCGCGCGAGGCCGAGATGGCGGCGGCGGTGGTGGCGGCGGCGACGCGGCTGCTGCGGGGCTCGGGCGCGTGGCGCCGCCCGCGGCCGAGGTGCGCGGTCCTCCCGCCGCCCTGGCTCGCTCGGGGGGTGCGGGCGGGGGGCGGGGCGCGACCCCCGCGGAGCCGCCTGACCCGCCGTCCGTCCGCAGGTGCGGCGCGCCCCCGAGCAGGCCGTTCAGCAGCGGCGGCGCGTACCCCGGCGTCCCGCTCTCGCTCCCCCTGCCCGGCGTCCCCAAGCCTGTGTTCGCCACGGTGGACGGGCAGGAGAAGTTCGAGACCAGAGTGACCACCCTGGACAACGGCCTCCGCGTGGCCTCCCAGAATAAGTTCGGGCAGTTCTGCACGGTGGGAGGTGAGGGCCGGCCGGCGGGCCCGGGGGGCGGCGCGGCGCGGCGCGGCTCGGGCCCGATCCTGACCCCGCTGCTTCCCCGTGCTGGCCAGTTCTCATCAACTCGGGGTCGAGATACGAAGCGAAGCACGTCAGCGGGATCGCACACTTTTTGGAGAAGTTGGCGTTTTCGGTCAGTGTCTGTTTTGTGGCGTTGAGGTCTTTGCTGGGCAGTCAGGTTTTCTCCAGAGGGTGGTTTGAGGAGATGGTCTAGCTGGTGACGGTAATGACAGTCTACGAGGTAGGCGTGGTGTTTGAAAGCCAGCGTAAGCGTAAGAAACACAGTTGCAGGGTCAGAGAGAGAGCACGGCGGGAGGGTGCTTGCTTGCGCACTGCCACCATGGGTTCCGTCCGGGGCATCCCATATGGTCCCCCGAGCCTGCTGGGAGTGATTCCTGAGTGCAGAGCCAGGAGCAACCCCTGAACACTGCAAGGTGTGATTCCCTCCCTCCCCCCCAAAAAAAGACAAAGTTTGTGTTTGGTGGCTCGGGACAATGTTGGGCATAGGTCGTTGCCTTGTGTTCAGTCCCATCAAACCCCATCAGGAGCCATCCCCAAGCACAGCCGAGCAGGGCCCAAACCTTGTGCCCAGTCTGTCTCTTGCGTGTTCTGCTGCCTGACTCTCTGTGTGTCCTTGCAGTCCACTGATGAGTTTGGCAGCAAAGATGAGATCCTGCTTGCCCTGGAGCAACACGGCGGCATCTGCGACTGCCAGACCTCGAGGTACCAGGCTGTGCCCCGTGCCCTCTGGCCTGTTCACCCTCTGTCCGTCCTGCTGCGCCCCTGCAGATGCTGTGGCGGGGCACACAGAGGCAGCAACACTCGACAGCTCTGCCCCAGGGGAGCACATTCCAAGGCCAGGGGCTGGAGGTGCCTGTTGGGCCAGACGTTGACCTCAGTGCAGAGCCCATGGGGGAGTTGGGGAAAGCGGCAGCCAGGACGAGGCCGGGCCCTGCAGAGGCATCACCTGGGTGCAGCTGGGGGCGGCAAGAGCGCCAACATGGTTTGTTTGGTGGAGGGACCTGGACAGTTGGTTCCGACTGGGCCAGACACTCTTTTCCCCCGCTCTGCTCGGGACCCTCCAGCTCCCGGGGTGCTGCCCAGAGTGGCTGGCACGTCCGGGCCCCGTGTGCGCCTCCTTGTGGCACCCGCACTCTGCTGGCCGACTCAGGGCCAGCATGTCATCTTCCCTAGGGACACGACCATGTACGCTGTGTCTGCCGACGTCAGGGGCCTGGACACGGTGGTGGGCTTGCTGGCTGGCGTGGTCCTGCGCCCCAGGCTGACAGGTGGGTCCGGGCTGCAATGAGGGGCCGCTGGGAGGCAGGCAGGCTGGGACAGGCTGGTGAGTGGCCGCAAGCCCGGCTGAGGTCTCCCTGTCTCGAGCGCCTGAGCAAGGAGGGCTGTGGTGCGGGGCAGGCCCAACGTGGCATGGCTCTGCCTTGGTGGCGCAGGTGACCCAGTCTGGCCTCGCATCTGCAGATGAGGAGATAGAGATGGCGCGGATGGCTGTCCAGTTTGAGCTGGAGGATCTCAACATGCGGCCGGACCCTGAGCCGCTCCTCACAGAGATGATTCATGAAGTGAGAGCCATGGCCAGGGCCCATGGGCAGGAGTTGGTCACCCTTTTCTTTGGGTGGGTTGGGGGTCTGCCCAACCTCGGGTTCAGCCACGTGCAGGGCCAGCACTCTATGCTGGCTCTTAGCTTGGGGTAGCAGGCACTGGTGAGCAGGTGGACACCCCTGAGGGCACCTCTGCTCTCCCCGCAGGCGGCATATCGGGGAAACACCGTCGGCCTCCACCGGTTCTGCTCCGTGGAGAACATAGCCAGGATCAACCGCGAGGTGCTGCATGCCTACCTGAGGAACTACTACACCCCCGACCGCATGGTGCTGGCGGGCGTGGGCATGGAGCACGAGCACCTGGTGGAATGTGCCAGGAAGTACCTCCTGGGAGCCCAGCCGGCCTGGGGGCATGGGCCGGCGGGAACCGTGGACCGCTCGGTTGCACAGTACACGGGCGGGATTGTCACGGTAAGGCCGGTCACCTGCGCTCCTGGGCCAGATGTGGGAATGAGCCGCGCGTGGCTGCTGAGGCATGCCTGGGTCTCGGCACCACCTCCCTTTCTCCTGGAAGCCGGGTCATTAGGACTGAGACGCTTCTGGATGGTTCATGTCCTTCGGGGTTGGTGGCTCAGGGTAACCCCGGGCCATGCATCCTCTCGTGCCAGCTGGAGCGAGACATGTCGAACGTCAGCCCTGGGCCCACTCCGTTCCCCGAGCTCGCGCACGTCATGCTGGGCCTGGAGAGCTGCTCCTTCCTGGAGGCCGACTTCATCCCCTTCGCCGTCCTCAACATGATGATGGGGGGTGGCGGCTCCTTCTCAGCGGGTGGCCCGGGCAAGGGCATGTTCACCAGGCTCTACCTCAATGTGCTCAACAGGTGGGTGCGCCGCGCGGCCCCGTGTGGGATGGGGCAGTGGCGCTGGTGCCAGGACTGACTCCCTCTGCCCCACAGGCACCACTGGATGTACAGCGCCACCTCTTACCACCACAGCTATGAGGACACAGGGCTCCTGTGCATCCATGCCAGCGCCGATCCCCGCCAGGTGAGATCTCGAGCTCGGGAGGGTGCAGGGGGGTACTGTCGGCCAGTGCTCATAGCCGCTCCCGTAGGTGCGGGAGATGGTGGAGATTCTCACTAAGGAGTTCGTCCTCATGTGCGAGGCGCCGGACGAGGTGAGTGCAGGACTGGAAGCCCAGGGGGCCCCGGGGCCACGTTGGGCCTCTCCCGGGACGTGGGTGGCCTCTGGTGGCTGTGTGTCTCTCACACTGGGCTGAGGCAGGGACCATCTCTGCCCCTCATCTGTCTGCTCGGCTTCTGACTTGTCTGAGTTCCGTGGGCTCGGCTCTCCAGCATGGGTTTGGTGCGGGTGTGGTTACAGGCCTCTGGTATGCATCAGCAGATCTCAGGGCACTGGTTGCCCTGCGCCCCCAGAGGCTCAGTGCAGATCCCCTTGGTACCGGAGGTGGCCCTGGCCGGCCACTGTTACCCTAGGCTGTCTTTCGTCCTGCTTCGTGGGTTTCATCAATGTACTGACCACTGCCTTGCCCTGCCTTGCCCGGGGGTCCCACACCAGAGCACATGCTACAGCCCTCAGCTAGGAGCCGGGCACGTTTACACAACCAGATACGTGCAAGCATACATATGTATAGTTGTATACGTGTGCATGTACGTATAGGCTTGCGTGCAGACATTCACTTGTAAACGTGTTCAGTATGTGCAGACAACCACACGCACATGTGCATTAGGCTCACATCGTGCACACATGCTCACGCATACATGAGTAGACTGACGTGCGTGTGCACGTTCATGTGCACACATAGACTTACACGTGAACACCCATGCGTAGACTCGTGCGTGCACGAGTACTCACATTTGCGTACACATTTACACACTCACATGCACTCGTGTAGACTCAAATTATGCACACACATTCACGCAATTGCATGAGCATGGTGTGGTGTGTGAACATCTGGTCTGCATATCTTATGTTCCTTCTCTTGTCATGTGTTGTTATTAGAAAGAGAAGCACCGAGGGATGAAAACGTTTAAAAAATCAACACGAGGGCTGAACACTGTTGGGTGGGCCCCAAAGCCCCCAGAGTAGACTCTTAGAGAGTTATAATGAAGGGGGTCAGAGCAAGATAGGATAAGCAGGGAGGGCATTTGCCTTGTACGTGGTCAACCCGGGTTTAATCCCTGAGCACCGCCAGGAGTGATTCTTGAGTGCAGAGCCAGGAGTAACTCCTGAGTATTGTTGGGTGTGACCCCCCAAAGCCAAAACAAAGAGCCGGTGAACAGAGTCTGAGAAGCTGCAAGAACCCAAACCCTTGCCGTGGACTGTGTGGCTATTATGCAGGGTTCCACCTGTGGTGGCGTTCTCTGGTCCTTGTTCTGGCCGCGGGGGAGCCTGGCTGGGCAGGATGCAACTGTCGGCCCCTCCAGGTAGAACTGGACCGCGCCAAGACACAGTTGATGTCCATGCTGATGATGAACCTGGAGTCTAGGCCTGTCATCTTTGAGGATGTGGGGAGACAGGTGCTGGCCACGCAGTCCAGAAAGCTGCCCCATGAGCTGTGCGAGCTGATCCGTGAGTGTCCCCATCCCCGCAAACGGTCGGGATCCCTTCCAGGGAGGGGTCTTCAGGAGATCGAGGCTGCAGAGCTGCCTCCAGGCTCGGGTGGGGCTTAGCTGGAGGCAGCCCTGCCTGAGGACCTGTTCTCAGCCCCATCCTCCCCATGCCAGTGGGAGAACCCTGGCCCTGGCTCGGGAGAGGAGTTGGCACCCGACATTGCCCTTTCTCCAAGCAGGCCAGGTGCAGCCCAGCGACATCCGAAGAGTGACTGCCAAGATGCTGCGCGGGAAGCCTGCGGTGGCTGCCCTGGGCAACCTGGCTGGCCTGCCCAGCTATGAGCACATCCAGGCGGCCCTGTGCAAGAACGGCCGCCTGCCCAGGACCTACCGGCTCTTCCGCTAGAGCTGTCCACGTGGTCTGTGGGGGCAGCTCAGGCTCCAGCCGGGGTGTGTCCGAGGCTTGGGTGGGCTCTGCCCACCACCCCAGGGAACCCTGCTGGGTTTGCAGGAGCATCCTCGATCTCGCTGTGCAACTCGTCAGTGAGCCCACTCAGAGTGCGCATGTGTGTGTGTGTGTGTGTGTGTGTGGCGGGGGGCCAGCTTGGGGCCTGGGGTCACCTGCCGTCACCTGCCGCAAGGAGCATGGGATGGGTCACAGCCTGCGCGGCCTTGCTGGAGGAGAACCAAGAAGCCCAGTTCCGGGTTGGGGGCTGCTGCAGTGAGGGGTTCTGAGTCCCAAAACAAAGCCTCCGGAAGCCTGGCCTTGCAGTCAGGTGGGTGAGGTTTGAGGGCTCGAATAAACACCTCGAGAACAGAACTCTCCGCTGCCTTCACTTCGCTGCCCTTCCCAGGCGCCTCCATCTACCCCCGTGCCCCTAGCGTGCCTGGATGACCCTCTGGAAGCAGCTTGGCTTCCCTCTTTGGAACCTGCTGGAAGCCCATGCCTGCTCCCCAGGGGTACCTTCCCTCCCACACAAGTCCTGGAGTGGGCCCACCTTGGCGGCCAGTTCGTCCGGGCTCTGTCCCATCACGTTCAGTCTTGCTCACCCTCCTCCCTGCCTCAGGCTGGCAGCAGTGTGCAAGCAACTTGGTTCTCAATGTAGGGGACAGTGACAAGCTCTGGTGGCTTCGGGCTGGGGCTGAATGAAGGGATGGGGGAACTGGTGCAGGCTCAAGGCCCAGAGCTGACCTCTGGCCAGACAAGGACAGGCGTGCCCCTCGAGGGTCCCTGCAGTCTGGGCCGGCTGCCCGATCCCACCCCTCCAGGCTGAAGACTGAGACAGCTGTGGGGGCACATGCCCCACACTGGCAAGCAGTGGTACGTGGGGTCTGTTCTCAGATGGGCATGCAGAGCCCAATGTGGCTGGAACTTAAGGGTCTTTATTTGCATTTATTTATAAATATGGAAAAATAAATAATTTAAGATGCTGAAACACCCCACATCTACACATTGAAGCCCATGTGTTTGTTCAAGGGGAAGAAGGCAGCAAGCAAGAACAGTCTAGATCCTGCCCAGATAAGGCTGGTGATGCCTGGTGCAGCTGGTGAGGTGGTGGCACGCTGGGCTTCAGGCATCAATGGCCAGAACTGGCTCATTAGCGCCACTAATGGTCCCTCAGACGGCCTGGGGAGGGCCCCCTCGCACGTGTCTGCTGCCTGCTGCAGTGTGGCCCTGGGTCACCGGAGCGTCCAGGAGGGTGGGGCAGGTTAGTGCAGGGTGGGCAGCAAAGGCCGGGCCTTGGGGCTGGGTGTCTTCCGCCTCACGGCCTGGGGTGGTTCTCAGCCGTGGCTCTGCAGCAGACTCAGGAGATAGTACACACCAGACTGGCACTGGTGCCCCGCAGCGCCCGCTGTCGCTGGAGCTCTTTGGAGATGCGTCTCTTGATCCCGAGCAGGTATAGGTCCCGGTCAAACTTGCCGGCGGCCAGCGGGATGCTGTGGGCGGACGAGCTGTCAGGGGTGCCCCACGGTTCTCCTACACCACGCCACGCCACCACCCACAGGCACAACTCGGAGCTCAGCAGGTACTGACTTGTCTCTGCCCGGCCTCACTTTCACCCGGAACAGGCCGTACACAGGCCGGTGGTCCGAGGTCCTGACCCCGCGGCAGCAGGCGTAGTGCAGTGCACAGATGTCATCCGTGTGACGGCTCCTGTACAGGACACGGTCCTGGGGGCAGAGGAGAGCTGGCACAGGCTTGAGGGAGGCGCCCGCCCCTGGCACGCCCCCTCCTGCGCTGCTGACCACCTCCGGGCCAAATGCTCACCGTGTATGAGGGCGTCCGCTGCTTGGCCGAGCTGTCGTACGAATCCCTCCCGATATCGAACTTGTACGACGGCAGGAAATGGATGTCTGCTTCCTGGAAGCCCTTGAAGATGGAGCCTAGGGCAGGCCAGGCCTCAGCAGGGCAGCAGCTGGGGCCGCACCACACCCCCCTCCCCAGGAGTGGCTGGGGCAGCACCTCTCCTCATCTCCCGCGTCAGTTGGTCACGCTGCAGCAGGGCCTGCACGTCGGGCCCCAGCTCCTGCCTGAGGACAGCGTCCACAGCTGCGCGGCCCCCGCTCAGGCGGAAGTTGAAGTCTCCAAACCAAAACACTCCGTCGAAGCGTGTGGTGACATCGGCTGGGGCCCGGGGGTGGGGGTGGGGGGGGCAGGAAGCATGAGCCAGGTGGAGCTGGGGGCCGGAACGGAGGGGGGGGGAGGGGGAAGGGAGGGGGATGAGGCCCTATAGGCTGCCACGCCCCCTGCCCCCAGGGCCTCACCTGCGTCCGAGCGGTAGGGGCTGGTGTTGGGCACGTTCCTGGGCAGGCTGAGGCCCTGCACCGTCTTGGAGTAGTCCAGCAGTCGCTCACTCACCTTCCCGTCCCCAGCTGCAACACATGGGGTACAGGGGCGGCTCAGTGCTGGCCGAGCCTCCTGACCACGAAGCACTGCGGATGCCCCCGGCCCCAGACTCACACGTGAAGTGGGACGTGATGAAGAGAAAGGAGGTGCCAAAGAAGGTGAAGCTGACGCCCAGGGCGCCCTTGGTCTTGATCTGGGACACGATGCGCGTGGTCACCGTGGAGCTCTCCACCTCTGTGGGGACAGGCAGGGGCTGGCAGGCGGCCTGGCAGGACACCCCCGCCCACCCAGGCCAGGCCCCTGGGGCCCACCTGAGCAGAACCAGATGAGGTCTCGGCGGATGAGCACAGACATGTAGAGGGCGCCGTGCGCCACCGAGTGCAGCATCACGTAGTGCGGGCCCAATGTCTCCTGCAGCCGCGCCTCCCACTCGCGCCTGCAGAGCAAGTCCACAGGGGCACGTGTGTCCTGGGCACCACCAGGACTGATCCCTGAGCCAGAGCCAGGAGTAACTCGAGTGTGGCCGGGTGTGGCCCCAAATCAAAATCAAAACCAACCAGAACAAGCCCTGGGGTCTGGGGAGGGCTCCCTGGACGTCTGGATCCCGTGGGCGAGCAGCAGGTGTGCATGGGGCCCCTCTGCGGTCAGGTGGGTCACGCAGGGGCCCTTACCTGTCAGAGCAGCCCTCCTGGACGCCCACCACGTACAGGTCCTGGGCATAGTCGGCCTCCGTGGGCAGCAGCAGCTCATCCAGGTTGGCGGGCAGCTCCTGGCACAGAGCACATGCAGCCAGTCCAGGACACGGCCTGCACTCCCCTGAGCTGCCCGCCTGCCGCAACCCCACACTCTCACAGGAAGGTGCGATGCCCGCTCGCCCCCACTCACCTTCTGACCCTGCATGTTCCACGTGGCCACGTACAGCGCCAAGTTCCGGTCCGGGAAGTAGCGGGCCAGCTCGTCTGCCCCCATCAGGGCCCCGCTGGCTAGGAGGCTCCCCTGCAGGTAGCTCCTGTGGGGGGCCGGCCCCGGGCTGTGAGTGCCTCGGGGAGGACGGTGTGTGTGTGTGTGTGTATGTGTGTACTGCATGTGACTGTGTGTGTGTCTGTGTGTATACAGGAGATGTGTGTGACTGCATGTGACTGTGTATGTCTGTGCACCAGTATGTGTGAGGGAGTGTCTGTGTGTGTCACTGCATATGAGGGTGCGTTTGTGTGCACCAGTATGTGCGCGAGAGCTGTGTGTGTGTGTGTGTGTGCGTGCGCCAGTATGTGTGAGGGAGTGTCTGTGTGTGTCCTGTGTATGAGGGTGCGTTTGTGTGCACCAGTATGTGCGCGAGAGCAGTGTGTGTGTGTGTGTGCGTGCGCCAGTATGTGTGAGGGAGTGTCTGTGTGTGTCCTGTGTATGAGGGTGCGTTTGTGTGCACCAGTATGTGCGCGAGAGCTGTGTGTATGTGTGTGTGTGCGCCAGTATGTGTGTGGGAGAGTCTGTGTGTGACTGCGTGTGAGGATGTACGTTTGTGTGGGGAGTCTGTGTGACTGTGTGTGCACGCCAGCATGTGTGTGGGAGAGTCTGTGTGTGTGACTGCGTGACGGTGTGTGTATGTGTGTGTGTGTGTGTGTGTGTGTGTGTGCACGTGAGTGTGCCCTGGGTGGGTGAGCGGCACGCTGTGGGCAGGAATGGTGGCCAGACACGGAGCTGGTGGAGCCAGCCCCTCTCTGGGGATTTGAACTCTGGGCCCAGCTGCTGGGTAGGCAGGACCGAGAATTGGGAACTTCACTCTCGGGCTGTGACCTGGCCTCTAGAGAGCTGGGGGAGGGGGGACGGGGCAGAAAAGGGTGACACGGACTTCATACACAAACAGGCCCAGCGGTGCAGACCGAGCAGGAGCATAAGAGCAAGCCCGGGAGGCACCCCGGCAGCAGCGCACAGGCCTGTGGGGACAGACCCGAGGGGGGGGCCGAGCCAGCCCAGGGCCCTGGGCTCCCTGGCAGCTGGGGGCAGAGGGAGGAGTGAACCGCAGGCTCCAAGGGCTGGAGGGCCAGGGTGAGGGGAGCCATGGGGGCGGCCACAGGGGCGGGCGGCCACTCGGCGGCCCTACCTGCTGCGGACGTCCGTGGTGCGGATGGGTGCCAGGAGACTGAAGGCGGACCGGGCCGAGCCCAGGGAGGAATCGTCACAGGCCAGGGGGCTGGGCGGCCGGCCGGGGCCCGGGCTGCCGGGGGCGCGGGACAGCCGGGCCTGCAGGCGGGGCTTGTAGTCCCAGTCAACCTTGTTCGAGGTCCTCAGGGTGCCGGAGGCCACGCTCATGTCCAGGGCGGGTAGTGGGCGCGGGGGCGGCCTCGGGGCCAGCCTGGACGCGCCCCCGGCCCCGTCTCGCGGCAGGAGGTCCAGAGAGGTACTCACCCGGGTGGCCGCGCCGCCTGCCCAGGGAGCCCGGCGCGGCCCCGGCAGCTCCTGCAGGGAGGAGCTCAGGCCGAGCGCGGGGCCGGCGGGGGCGCCGGGGGCCTCGGCGGGCAGCGAGCCGCGGGCCGGGCTGGCCCCGTTGCGGGACGCGGGGCGGTCGGGGCCGGCCCGGCTGCGGCGCCGCCGCCAGCCCGTGTCGTCCAGGGACAGCGTCCGCTCCAGCCGGGGCCTCGGGGGCGGCCTGGGGGCCGGGGCTCCGGCCGGCGCCGGCGGGTCCTCGCGGCCGGGCTTTGCCGGGACATTCGGAGGGAGCGCGGGGCCGCCGGCGGGGAGGCCCGTGTCCGCGCTGGCCGGCCGCGGGGCCGCCGCCAGCGTGGACGGCATCGTGGGGCGCAGGTGCCCGCCGGGGCCTGTGGGAGGCCGGGCGGTCACCGCCAGGGCTCGCACCGGCCGCGGCGCGCGGCTCGGCCCGCGCCCACCCGCCGCCCAGGGCTCAGCCCGCTCCCGCGCCCCCGCCCCTCCGCGCCGGGGCTCCGCTCCGCCCCGCCCGGCCGGCCTCGGCCCGGCCCCGCAGCGCCCCTAGCGGCCGGAGGACCCGGGCGGGCGTCCCGCCCTCCCCCGCGGCCACCTCAGCGCCCCCGCGCAAGCTCTCCACGCGCAGGGAAAAGGGGGAATCCTGAGAGCGCAAAATATTTATTTAACAATTTGCAGTGAAACAATTTGCATTTAGGAAAAATATCAGCTCCCGCCCGGAGGAAGCGTCTGAAACGAGGTCCTGGCGGTCACTGGAGGAAGGGAACCCAGGACACTGGCAGGCGCAGAAGCTGCCCGGCCATTCCCAGGAGACAAGCGGATCCAGTCGCACTGTGGAAGATTCTAGAAAGTACTGTCTTCCCTAGTGATCGGGTGATCCCACATGTGCACAATTTCTACAGATTCGATAAACCAAGCAAACGATGGGCCCCAGCAGAACCTACAGAGAAAGCGCCTACTGATTCGGTCAAGACCCCGCTCAGCCCAGCTCTCCTTGGTCGCTGCCAGTGGGGTCAGTCTCCACCCCCGGGGTCTGGCGCTTCGGTATGGCTGAGTCAGGGGCAGCGACAGAAGAGAACCAACCAAGTATCAGATTCCACAGTTTTGCCAGAAATTATTGTAAGCCACTTCCTGCAGGACCCACGGCTTAGGGGTGTCAAGTGAGCACGCCCACGGAGCCCTGCAGAGTCCCGGTGCCGCAGTGGTCAGGAGGGCACATGCCCAAGGCCCGTTTTGGTAGCTCCTGCCCAGGAAGTGGCCGTGGCACGGGCGGATCAGCCCCTCCTGCGAGGCACACTCTTCCGGACTCTGCGGTGCCACGGGCTCAGAGGCCCACACTCTCCGTCCAGCACCCTGGGGCCAATCCAGCTGCCGAGAACAGCTCATGGTGCGGACCCAAGTGGGGCCTCCTGCTGCCTTCTCAGGGCTGGTGGGCACGGAGACACGGAGGTGAGGTTGGGAGAGGCTCTAGCTCAGCGCAGCCTGTTTCCTTCCACCCATGCGTCCTGCCCGGGAGCTTCCTGAGGTGGCAGCCACCTGCAACCGAGAGTAGCGCTGACTGCCACCTGCCGGCCTCAGGCAAGAGATGTGGGTCAGCACCCCGAGGAAGGTGCCCGAGGGCCGTGTGCTGGAGGCTGTCCACTCACAGCAGAGCTGCAGGACACTCCGGGCAGGGGAGAAAGCACCTGTTGAGAAGCACAAGCCGCCCTGGAGCAGATGTGCAAACAAGGGATCTGCAGGAGACCAAGCCACTGTGAAGGCACAGCAGGCCGTGTGGGGCAGTGGGGGTGCCCCCGGAGACGGCAGGCGGCCACACACTTGAGAGGGGGTGGGAGGTAGCAGGAGGGAGAAGGCAGAGAAGAATGAATAAAATGTGCCAGAGCTGCCCTTGAGGGGGTGGCCAGGGTCAGCTCAGTAGGAGTGACCAGCCCCAGGTATGTCAGCCCTAGGGTCCATGGGAGGGGACAGCAGGACACTTACTGGTGTAAACTGCACAGGGTTGTAGAAAGGCACTGCCCCCCCGGGGGGGTGCCCTGCAACAGGGGCATCGCCCGGAGCCTGCAAGCAGAGAGAAACCAGCCTCAGTGTAGCAGAGGCCGAACAGCCGGCCAGAGGAGGATGAAACACATGCAGCGCCCGGACATGTGAGCAGGAGAACGAGGGCTCAGGCCTACATGCCGCGGGAAAGCTGCGTGCCCTGGCACAGCCCGGGTGATGCACCCCTCCACCTCCATGTGCACCAAGTGGGCTTCTGCCATGCGTGCAGCCACGCACTGGCACCAAGGGGCCACGACACCAGGGATCCGGCTTCAGGGCTGCACCGCGCCCCAAGGCCAGTGAGGAAAGGGAACGCTGAGCAGCCCTCAGCCGGACACAGAGGCACCCGGTCTGCTCCCTGTCCGTGCAAGCTGCAGCCATGGGTGCCTGGTGCAGGTGCCAGCTCACTTCCCGTGATAACAGGCCACTGAGCTAGGGCGTGAGCGCTCCGACAACAAGAGCGCACAGGGCAAGCGAGCGAGCCGGCACAGGCCCGGCTTAGATGCACTGTGCCCACGGCAGGCTCCAGTCAGTCCTCCTCGGACTGCAAGACGGTGGAGGTTTGACTCTGGCACTTCAAGTCCAATAAAGTGTCTAAACAACCTACCAGTCACATCTGGGGGCGAGGGGAGGAGGTTGGGGCTCACTGGTAGGGCTCAGGGATTACTCCTGCCTCTGCACTCGGGGGTAACTCCTGGTGGGGCTCAGGGACCATATGGAATTCCAGGGAACAAACCCAGTGAGCTGCATGCAAGGCCTGTGCCCTTCCCACTGGGCTGTTGCTCTGGACCTAATTTTCTGTTTGTTTGGGTCACACCTGGTGATACACAGGGTAACTAACTCCTTGCTCTGCACTCAGGGGGAGACCTCCTGGTGGTGCTCGGGACCATATGGGCTGGAGCGATAGCACAGCGGTAGGGTGTTTGCCTTGCACGCAGCCAACATGGCCGACCCGAGTTTGATTCCTCCGCCCCTCTCGGAGAGCCTGGCAAGCTACCGAGAGTATCTCGCCCGCACAGCAGAGCCTGGCAAGTCACCCGTGATGTATTCGATATGCCAAACACAGTAACAACAAAGTCTCCAATGGAGACGTTACTGGGCCCGCTCGAGCAAATCGAGCAAATATGGGATGCTGGGCTGAAATCCTGGTTGCGAGTATGCAAGGCAAGGGCCCTACCCACTGTGCTGTCTCTCTGGCCCTCATATTTCATTTTTAAAGGAAGAGGCCACGGGACACACAAACGCAAGCTCTGGGGCAAGTCTCAGGCAGGGACTGTGGGAAGCGCTTTACTCTCCCCCATGGGGCGCATCTGCTCTCAAGGGCAGGCGTGACACTGCGGAGCCATGCAGGAGGAACAGAGATGGTGGCTGCTCCCGAGGCCAGCCCGGTGCCCGGCCCGGCCCTCTACGGGCCCCGGGGCAGCACATCAGCCTAGCCTCTGGCCTGGACACTGTCCCCACTTCAGAGCCGTATGGGATGCTCCCCTGCTGCCCCTCCCCGCCCCCCGGGGACAGGTAGAACCAGGGTGGGGATGCCCCGCGCCCTCTGCCCCCTCACCGTGGGCTCCTCCCCTTCCGTGCCGGGCCCCTCTGCAGAGGGCAGTGTATCTGCATCTGTGAAGGAGACAAGTGGGTGAAGGCGTGTCCCCGGGGCACCCCCTCAGGTCAGACAGAGGCCGGAACCTTGGGCAGCCTACCTGCTTGCGTGCCCCCCACAAGGGCTGGGATGGGGAGTGGGGCGAGCGGGGCGAAGAAGTCTGCAGGGGCCAGGGCCGGGTCACTGCGCTGGGTGCCCCCAGGGTTCAACACGTCCACATAGCGCGCCCTGGAGCCGGCTGCGAGAGAGGCGCATCAGGCCGGTGCGCCACCTGGAGGCCTCATGGTGGGAGGCGGCGGCTCCCAGCAAGGCTGAGAGGGTTCAGGCTGCTGGGCCAACACTCCGCAGAGCTGACACCGCCACCGTCCGCGGGAGTGACAGTGTGACTCTCTGGGGGGGTGGCTATCACTCTGCGGGTTGTCACTGTCCATAGGGCTGTCACTCCCTGTAGGTTAGGTTGTAATTGTCCGTGGGCTGTCACTGTCCGTGGGGCTGTCACTGTCGGCGGGGCTGTGAGTGTCTCTGCGGCAGGGCAGTGGGTGGGTGAGCGGCAGCTGGCCCCCCGCTGCTTACCTGCTTTCCTAGAGAACATGTTCACAGAGGCTCTGGGGGCCCCTCCAGGCCCCGGGGGCGCAGCCTGTGGAGCCTTCAGAAGTGAGGTGGGGGGTGGGGGCGGAGCCTTCTTCTGCAGAGGGAAAATGGGTGTCAGAGGAGCCCTGGGGTTTCGGGAGCCCTGGCTGCCCGGCCCCCTCGGCCACCCACCTCCTCTTCCGGCTCATTGACATCCACCCAGCGGTTCTTCTTCTCGTCCCAGACAATCTGCAGGCGGGAGAGAAGCAGGAGCGGAGCTGGCGCAGGCCCGAGCTGGGTCAGTGTGCAGGGCCCCTGGCCACCCCTGGCCTCCACTCACCGACTTGTTCTTGTCATCGGGCAGGTACGCCTCGGTCCGCTTCTTGCCATAGAGCCAGCGTGAGAAGAACCAGGGCTCACTGCTCTGGAGAGAGAGCTCGCATCAGCGGCACCCAGCCCCACCGCAGGCTGCAGACGCAGTGGCCCATCTTACGTCAGCCAAGGAGAGTCAGGACAAGGCGCCTGAGAGCACTTTCCCGGGCTCAATGCTGGCGCCTGGCCTCCGAGGGGCAGCGAAGGGTCCCCAGGAACAGTGGCCCTGCTTTCACTCACAAGAGAGGGGAAGCAGGAAAAGCAGGTCCCGGGCGGGGCCAGCCTGTCGGGGGCAGCCCCCTGGAAACCCACTTAAGCTTTTGGGCCACACCAGGCGGTACTCAGGGCTTACTCCTGGCTCTGCTCTCAGGGTTCACTCCCGGTCAGCTCAGAGGGACCATCTAGGGTACTGAGGGTCAAATCTGGGTCAGCTGTGTGCTAAGCAAACACCCTCCCTGCTGGCCCATCATTCTGGCCCTAGGAAGCCCACTTTGAAGTAAGTGTCTGTTCACTTATGACACCTGTAATTAGAGAAGAGCTTGAAATACAAATTCTGTGAAATTAAGAGGTGTAACTCACGAGGCACCACTGAGAGAGCAAGCCGCAGCCCAGTGGCTGTGGAGGTCCCCCAGGTTTAAGTCCCTCCCTCCTGCACACTGAAGGCCCAGCAGGGGGTGCCGATAAGGACCCCAGCACAGCTGCAGGAGATGCTGGGCTGGGCACAGCCTGAGGCAAATTCCATCCGCCTCCCGCCACACAGCTGAGCCATGACGCCCCCACCGCCTGCCAGCCTCACTATGGGTGGAGGCCGGTAGGACAGCGATAGAGGACGGAAACTGCACGGTGCACCTGAGTATCGTTCCACAGCGATGAACTGTGGCTTCCAGGTGGCATTTGGAGTGACACTGTGTACAACAGCAGCCCCAGAGAGGACGGGGCAAGTGGGACCTCAGGCCGGTCACTCCCACTGGTGTTGACCCACAGCCCACTGAAGCCTGGTTCTGGGCAGAGTGTACGATACCCTGGGGTCACTCCTGGAGGTCCTCGGGGGGGAACACGAGGGCCGCGTGGAAGGCCGCCGCCCTCCCTGGCATCCTCTCTCCCCAGCCCCCGACTGACCTTCTTAGGTTCCTTGGGTTCCTTTTTGGCCGGTGCGGCTCTCTTCATGTCCTGGATGGGCGATGGGGCGGGAGGCGGTGGCTCCCACCCCACAGAGGGCTCGTAATCCTGCGGCATCCTGGGGGGACCCTGTCCCAAGGCAGCAGAGAGTGGGCTCAGCAGGAGAGCAGTATCTACCCAGGCTGGCCAGCGGCACACAGATGTGGCAGGAAAACCCATCAGCAGGACACGGCACTTTAAAGAACGACTTAAGGGGGCTGAAGCGATAGCAGAACAGATAGGCGTTGGCCTTGCACACGGCGGACCTGGGTTTGATTCCCGGCATCCCATATGGTCCCCCAAGCACCGCCAGGAGTAATTCCTGAGTGCAGAGACAGGAATAACCCCTGAGCATCGCTGGGTGTGACCCAAAAAGAAAAAAAAATTAAAAAAAATAAAGAACGACTTAAGGGGCCAGAGCGACAGCACAGCAAGGAGGGCGTTTGCCTTGCATGTGGCCAACCCGGGATCAATCCCCAGCATCCCATATGGTCCCCTGAGCACCGCTAGGAGTGACTCCTGAGTACAGAGCCAGGAGGAACCCCTGGGCACTGCCAGTGTGACCCGAAAAGACTGAGTAAAAATTTTTTAAAGTAAAAAGATGAAGAGTGACATAAAGAACAGTCACTCCTGGGCCAGAAAGCACAGGGCTAAGGCACTGCTGTGCATCCAACTGATGTGCTCAAGCCCCGACACAAGTGTCCGCGAGCACTGCCAGGCCTGAGCCCTCAGTGCGGAGCCAGGAGTAGTCTCAGCTCTGTGCAGGGGCTCAGAAACATGCAGACTCATTCCTGGGTACGACACTGACTGTGATGCAGGTATGACGCTTTGCTTTCATTTGGCAGGGGGTAGGGGTTGGTTTGGGGGCCATACTTGGTTATGCTCAGGAGCCACAACTGGCTCAGAGCCTGGTGGTCACCTCCAGAGAGTGCTCTGGGGACCAATCAGCACCAGGAATCAAACCCAAGGCCTCACTCGCAAGGCGCCCAGCACCCTCCGAGTCCCAGTTCCCTTTCTGCAAGGAGGTTTTGAATGCCTGTGGAGGGCTTCCTCAGAGCTGGGCCAGAGCGAAGAGGGCTCCGGAGAGCAGGCTACCCCTTGGGATGGGCTCGGAGCACAGGGGGGCTCTTTACTCAGGGGAGTCCAATAGAGTGCTCTCTATTTCCAGGAACTAATGAAGACTCAAGTTTGTGGACTTTCTGGTTTAGAAAGAAGCTAGGCCTTGGGTTGCTCGTCAGCAAAGGCAGAAGAAGTCAGGAAGACCAAGGCATTCTACACAGGGACTGCCCTGGTTTGATTTTGAAGACTGGTTCTGTTTTGGGGTTATATCCAACAGTGCTTGGGGGTACTCCTGGCTCAGTGCTCAGGAACTGTGCGGTGCTAGGGCTTGTCCCCAGGCCTCCGCACGCCAAGTGTACTCCTGCCCTTCTGGCTCTCCCCATGGCGCCACTGACAGTCCTCTCCAGCCACTGAAGGGGCTGCTTTTTGTGGTGTTGCTGTTTTGGACCCAATTCCACAAGCAGACTCATGCTACAGTGCTCTCTTGACACAGCAATGAAAAAAAGGGGCTCTCGGAGTCTGTCACCCCTCCCCACTTGCAGCCAGAGCAAAAGGAGTTGGAAGCCTCCTGAGACTCAGACAAACTTCTGGGAAATGCAAACGTGGAAGTACCAGATCAGCAGGGGCTCCGCCCACATCCCCTTCTCTGAGCTCCGGGACCAGGTGTCTGCCGGGGGCCTCCTGCAGCGTTGCTCCTGCGAGGGACATCGGGGAGGCACTCAGCGGGGCATGGACACCATGTCCCCCTCCCTCCAGCACTATCTCCGCAAGTGGGGCAGAGATGCTCCCGGCAGTGGGCTTGGCTTTCAGAGCCAGAGCAGGCGGCAGGGATAAGACCCACCAGGCCAGCCGGCGGCACCACGGCCGCTCTGTAGCCCAGTTGGGTCAGTGATGTCACCTGTCTCCTCCCCAGCCAAGCCCGGCCCCTGGCACCTTGCAGACCCACCTGGCTCCTGGAGAGGTGGGCCGCCGGGTGGCAGGCCAGGCCCGGGGTACAGAGCTGTGGGATCGGGCACTGAGGGTTCTGGAAAGCCCAGCACAGATCCTGGGGGCGCAGGCACAGGAAACATGGGCACCCCTGTAGGGAGGGCTAGCTGGCTGCCGGGAAGCCTCTGTGGCGCTGCTGGTGGAAGGCAGAGGACCATCAGCTGCGGGCCGCAGGCTGATCAGCCCGGGAGGGCCAAGGGGGCCTCCTCTCTGCTTTCTCAGTTCGCAGACTCCTTGGCATTCTGGGGCCCCCAGCTCTCCCCTGGGCCTCCAACAGGCCCTGACCTGCATGCCCAGACACCTCGGGCCTGCAGGCCAGGACCCACCTGAAGGCAGTAGCCGCACACTCTGGCCCAAGGGCTCAGCAGCTGGCATCAGGGGGGCCAGCAGTGGGTTGTCAGGGCCCGGGCCTGAAGGCAGAGCTGATCCTGGACCCTCGCACAAGCCCACGTCGGAACTGGGTGAGCTGGGACGGCACTTCGGGACGGCTGCATCCTGGCGCCACACCAGAGAGCCCTCCTGTGGGCAACATGGGTACCAATCATGCACAGGCCTGGCGAGCCTGTCCCGGGGCTAGGACACATACCCTCAAGCCTACTATCCACAGCATGCTCACAGGGTGGCCAGGGCCAGGGCTTCCCTCCGCCCCAGGACACACCTTGACCTGTTCATCCACACGCTGCAGCTGGGTCAGCCAGGCAGGCTCCACGAAGGACTCCTCCTCAGGCCGCTCCTTCAGCTGAGGGTCGAAGAGACGCAGCTGGGATGCGACCTAGAAGCAGCAGGAAGATGAAAATGGGTGATGAGCCAGGACACAGCAGGTCAGAGCAGAGAACGTGTTGGCAGGGTGTGGGACAAGCGTGCCAGCGCTCAGGTCCCCACTTGGCACCCTCACTGGTCACATGGAGGGCAGGGGGCAGAGGAAGCCCATCCGGCCCTGTGCTCATCCAGAGTGAGAGTCACAAGCAAGGGTCCCGAGTCTTCACGCATGGCAGAATCCCCAGACTTCAGCCTGAGGAGTGGCGGGGCCAGAGGAGCACAGAGCGCAGGTCAGCGTGGTCCAAATACAAGCTGAGGCTGTGCGAGCCAGGGCGGGCAGAGTGGCAGGACAACAGGGAGGGCACTTGCGTCACATCCAATCCCTGGCACCAACAAGACCCTGCCTGGGGTGACCGAGCACAGAACCGGGAGCAGTGGCTGCGGCAGGGTCGGAGCCCAGGGCTCAGGGCTGTACCTGGACCAGCTGGCTGATGAGCACTGGGGAGTGGTCGTGGGGCTGGGCCAGGATACTCTGGGCGATGACCTCGCAGTAGTGGAAGGCCTGCGTGGCGAGCCCCATCTCGGCCAGGCGGCAAGAGTAGATGAACTTGAACACCTGGGACAGACAGCGCAGCGCCCTGAGCCAGCACTTCCCTGCCCACCCCCCGCCACTTCTCCCAGCAGGGCTGAGGCCTGCTCCCTCATGGCACGCGGGTCAGAGCAGCAGGCGCACCTAGGAAACTTGACTTCATCCTTCGCACCTCCCAGAGAACTGCAGACGTGGGAGCAGGTGCTGCCTGGGCCAGAGGCTCGCACACTCCCACGGAAACCAAAAGGGGCACACCCTGTCCTCGGGGCCTCTCCACAATGAGAGGATGGACTCTCAGGAGGTGCTGGGGTAATCCCGACACCCTTGCTGCCCAGCGCCCTCCACCGTGACCCTGCATCAGGGAGGCTCTCCACGTGCTGCTGACGTGGAAGCACTCGAGACCAGCCGCTGAAGGTCTCTCGTGCCGAGTCCAAACTACCCCAAAGATTGTTGCTGCAGCAGTTCTGGGGCCACACCCGGTGATGCTCAGGGGTACCTACTGGCTCTGCACTCGGAAATTACTTGAGGCAGTGCTGAGGGACCATCTGGAGTTCCAGGGGATCGAACCCAGGTCAACCGCATACAAGGCAAATAACCCACTGGCTATACCATCTCTGCAGACCCAGTTCTTGAGTCCTGAGCCAAACAGTTCCCGAGTTTACTATTTCGTTCTCTTGCTAAAGGCCAAGGCCCTTCAATGAGCAGGAACACATGGGGTGGCCGCAGCAGGCCCCCTTACCTGGAAGTTGGGGAGCGTGCAGGTCTGTGCCCCCAGGGACTGAGCATACTCATAGGCTTCTGTCCTCTGAATAGCTTCGTTGGTCGCAAACTTCGGAAACGGCAAACTGTCGAGGACACCAGCTCCTTTACCTCGGGCAAGGCCCCAGAGGACCTGTGGGGACAGGCTGAGCCCGGCCACCACCTCACCTGTGGTTCGAGCCAATCAAGACCAGCTTCGTGGATTTCTTGGTGTACACCCCAAATCCGAGCTGGGCCATGAGGTAGCAAAAATGGGCGGCATCCAGAAGGCCTTTGGAAGCTGGGGGAACGGCATAGGCAGAGCCCTGTGAGAGCCTGCTCCCCTAGTGTGCCCCTCCCCCGCTACGCGCACCCCGCTGGATCCACACCCCAACGCACCCAGGGTGTCGCCCATGGTGACCATCGTCCTGGACTCCACATCCATGTTGCTGCTCAGGTTGGACAGAACCATGGCGAGGTGCGGCCTCCAGTCCCCCCATTTCTCGTCCCCACAGCACTGTGATCAGGGGATAGGAAGGCCAGAGCAGCCAGGGTCACTGTCAGTTAAGTCAACAAACACCCTGACTGAGTCCAAGGGACACAGGGTTTCCCGGCTGCCAGTCTCCAGGGCCCACACTGACCGTGGACGCTGCAGGCATCCGGCCCGACATCAGCTGGTAGACAGTCTGCAGGGGGTCGTTGATGGGGAGGCTGTTGGCGAACCTGGGGAGAAGGAGGAAGCTCTCACTCCAGCTTGTTCCAGAAAATGAAATGGACTCACACATGCACTTGCCAAGGGCCATGACACAATGACGCAGCCCTGAAGGACAAGGCAGGAACCAAGACTCTCCAGGAAGCTGCGTCTCGCAGTGAACTTGTTTAGTGATTTATTTTTGTAGCCTATGCTTGGCTCTTCTCAGGGATCACTCCTGGTCAGGCTTGGAGGACCCACGAAGGGAGCGAATTGAACCTGGGTTGGTACACGCAAGACAAGTGCCCTACCCACTGCACTATCTTTCTGGCCCTTGCAAAGACCTTGTGTAAAGCCTAAGTGAGAGCCCGAGGTGGAGATGGCACGGTCGGCTGTGTACCTGGTCATGACCTTGGCGTGTGTCCGGCTGTCCATCTTACTGGCAAGCAACAGAGCGTGGCCCCATAAAGCGTTTTTCATGGCGGATTCCAGAGCATCCTGTGAGAGCAGAGCAAGCACCTCAGTGGCCCTCTGAGGGTCGGGAGCCCAGGGCCAGAGAAGCAGGGGCACCCCTGTGTACCCCCCCGGGCAGGCAGGAGCCTACAGCGGGGGTCAGCACCCTGGCTACCTTTTTGCGGCCGTACAGCAATAGCTCCCGGAACCTCTCGACTTCCTTCTCCAGTGTGCTGGCAGGAGGCGGCTGGCCACCCAGGAAGGAGAGCTGCGCCTCCACCGACTCCTCCTCCTCCACCCGCTCGACCGCCTCATGGGTGAAATCAATCAGGTTGGCCTCATTGGGCGACTTCCCAGGAAGCCACACGGTCTTATGGTCGCGTAATAGCAGCTCCGCGATGTCTGTTCCCACCACAGTCTGCGTGGGTGGGGGCAGGGAGGACACAGGCGTCAGAAGCTCTCCCGCTGCTGAGGACAGAGCCTGGTTCTGGGAGACGAGGGGCCCCCAACAGACCCCTCAGATGAGCGCCCTTGACCCAGCAGCGGCTCACAGGTGATTGCACTCCCACGATTACCCGCACCCCGGCCCCCTGCTCTTCCGCCAGGGGCTCTTGAGCAAGGCCCACCATGCCCACTGCCCTCAGACACACATCCTGCCTACCACCTCCTGACTGCTGGCTGATAAGAGCCCTCTCCAGGCGAGACACGTACCCCATTTTGTCTGCACAACAGCACAATAAAATTCCAAAGAAGACTTGCAGATTCTTTGTCAAGTAAATTTTCATCCTGTAAACACTTTGTAGCTTTTTTCTGTGCAAAATTAATAACATCCACTTTATGCGTGTCATCTCTGGAAAAAGAACACACACTCAGCAGACAGCAATGGTGGCACCTGCAAGGCCCAGCCCAGCTCCTGCCAGGCCCAGCCAAGGTCCCCCCGGGACGTACTTGCCCAGAGGCCCAGGGAATGAGCGCATCTCCTCCTGCTCTGGCGTATGCTGCAGCAGGCTCTGCAACAGGACACAGTAGCTCACAGGACCCCGCCACACGGACAGGCACCCCGCCCCACAAGGCTCATCCCAGCTTTCTTCAGCACAAACCCCGGGGCAGGCCACAGGGCAGGTAACCCACACAGTGGCCACCCCACCCCGCCACCCCAAGCCAGAATCACCAGAGAGCAGAGTCCTTCCCCCGGGTCAGAAATGCAAAACAGCAGAAAACAACGCCAAGGTCAAGTCTGACACCAAGAATACAGGCGTGAGATGCTGGTTCTGGGAAGACACTTGGCTGACGGGACAAACACATGCCACAAAGGCCTGTCCTGCCCAACGTCCCTCCTAGGCCCGCAAACCCACCCCAGCCGCCCCAGCCTGCTCACCTCCATGCTGTGGATCTCCACCAGCGCGGGCTGGCCCTCTGATGGCAAGTTGGGCATCACCTTAATGAGCTGACCCCCGGGACCGAAGCGGGCACAGAGGTGCGGCACCGGGAATTTCTCAGGAGAGGTGGGTCTCGAGGGCGCTGGATTCAGACAGGAGAAGCAGAGCGGGCTGACCCCAAACCAGCACTGGCTGGAGCACGCGTGCAACTCAGGCACGGGGAGGCCCATGGAGCTCACGGGCTCCCAAGATTAGCCGCTCCACTGGCCAGGGCAGAGCTGCTTTGGGTCATGCAGGCCATTCTGACTGTGCCCTGCATGGCGGGCACAGGAAGGCATGGGGCCTGGTAGGGTCGCTGCCAAGATGAGATCACTGCCTCCCCGCATTGCCGCATACTCATTCCACGTTTCAGAGGGCAATAGGAGGCATCCAGGGGATCAGAAGTTGAGGTCAGCGTATGAACTCAACAGTGGCTGCAGGCGGGGACCATGGACAGGAAGGGTGACCTCAGAACTGGATGCCTGCCACAGCCCGGGCTGCCCTATGAGCAGGCGGGGACAGGGATGAACAGACCCAACCCCCCCAGCCCCCACGCACCCTGTTCCACCGTGGACCAGCTGGCTTCCGGGAAGGCACCCCCGTACACGCCATACGTGTAGTCACCGTGAAAGGAGCCCGGGGGAGGCGGGGCATCATAGGAGCCGGCTGTCACATGGTGACCTCGGTACATCTGACTCTAAGGAAACAAAGCAGAGGCGTCAGCTCCCAGTGGGCTGCAGGGGCGGGGAGGCGGAGGCGGGCACGGGCGCGGGCGCAGGCGGCGACCTGGTGGGAGTGTGAGCTTAAGCTGCTGCGGCGGCTCCGTAAGCTCTGGGCCGAGTGCTCGCTATGCACGCTGTGCCGGTCCGCCTCCTCCCCATACGGGTCCCTGCGGGGCTCGGGGTCATCGTCGAAACTCCCGGTGAAGCGGGGGTCGTACCTCCAAGGGTCATCATACTTATCGGACCTGGAGCCAGCAGGAAACGCCACTGACCACGCCGCCCTCAGGCCCTCCAGGCCGAGCGCACTGGAGCAGAGTCCGGGTCTCCAGCCGCTGGAGACTCAGACTCTGGCTCCAGAGTCACCCCAAGAGCCACCAGGGCAGCCTGGCCCCTCCTGTGCCTCAAACATCAGCAGCTCTCCAGGACCCCAACCCCAGAGAGGGCTACCCAAGTGCCAGCCCAGCAGGTCCCCCAAGTGGCCCGCACCAACCTGTCCCCATGAGCGTAGCTGTCTTTCCGGTACATGTCGTACTCAGCGTCGTGCCAGTACCTCTGGTCATAGGTGCGGGGGTCCCTGAACCTGGAGCGGTAGTGGTAGCGATCCCAGCGCCCCAAATCTATGGGCAGGAATGAATGGGTTCACCACCCCAGTCCTGGGGCACCAAGGCCACCACCCCGTCAGTGATGCTTTAGCTCCTCTCTCTGAAGAATGCGCATGCCCTGCTGGCTGGGAGTACTGAGCCCTGCCTTATGCCCAACCGGCCACTTCTAACTATGGTGATTTAAAAAAGAAAGTCTCCTGTGAAGAGACATGCATCATCACGCCCTGGCACAGTGATGAATAGCTGATACCAATGACAAATATTTCCTCCCCATCTCTCCAATGTGGACCAAAACTATGCCTCAGAAAATCAAGAACCAAGAGATGTTCTCAAAACTGAAAGGCTACTGTGACGAGAGCGGGAACAGCAGGGAGAGCGCTTGCCCTGCAGCTCGCAGTGGCATCCCATACGGTCCCCTAAGCACCGCCAGGAGTAACCCGAGTGCAAAGCCAGGAGTAATCCCTGAGCACCGGCAGGGATGGCCACAAAACAAAACAAATACTCTTCTTAAAATAAGTGATTCGTTACCAACTTGATATCAAAAGCAGACAGAGATACCACAAAAAAAGAAAACCACAGGCCAATATCCTTGATGAACACAGATGCAAAGATTCTCAACAAAACACTGGCAAAATAATCCAACAAAAAGATCATAATCATCAAAAAGATCATACACCATGACAACATAGGATTCATCCCAGGAATGCAAGGGCAGTTTAACATTAGCAAGGCAATCAACATAATATACCATAACAAAAAAAGACAAGATAAAAACCATACGATTAAGTCAATGCATGCAGAGAAAGCATTTGAAGGATCCAGCATACATTCACAATGAAAGTTCAACAAAACAGGAATTGAAGGAACTTTCCTAAATATAGTCAAAGCCACCTACCACAAGCCCACAGCAAGCACTATTCTCAATGGGGAGAAATTAAAAGCCTCCTCTCTAAGATCAGGCACAAGACACTTTAAGATCAGGCACTAGGCACTCTCACTGCTTCCATTCAATACAGTACTAGAAGGCCTTGCCAATTAGGCAAGAAAAGGGTATCAAGGACATCCAGATAGGAAAGGAAGAAGTCAAGCTCTCACTATTTACAGATGACATGATACTATACTTGGAAAATCCTAAAGACTCTACCAGAGAAGCTGGAGCAATAGGACAGCTGGTAGGGTGTTTCCCTTGCAAGCGGCCGACCCGGGTTCAATTATATAGTCCCCCGAGCACTGCCAGGAGTAATTCCTGAGTGCATGAGCCAGGAGTAACCCCTGTGCATCGCTGGGTGTGACCCAAAAAAAGAAAAAAGAAAAAAAAAAAGACTCTACCAGAAAAGATCCTAGAAATAATAGATTCATATAACAAAGTAGTTGGCTACAAAATACCCCAAAATCCATGGCTTTCCTACATACAAATGATCACTGTATCACTGTCATCCTGTTGTTCGTCGATTGCCTCAAGCAGGCCCCAGTAACGTCTTCTTCGTCCTACCCCTGAGATTTTTAAAAAGTGCCACAATGAGGCTCTTTCAGGGTCAGGAGAATGAGACCCATCATTGTTACTGGTTTTTGGCATATTGAATACACCACGGGGAGTGTGCCAGATTGCCGTGTGGGCAGGATACTTTTGGTAGTCTGCCAGGTTCTCCAGAGTTAAAACTAGATAATGCCGCGCGGCCGCATTTGTGGCCGTACACTTCCGGGAGCAGGGTTTTATAGTCTCTGGGTCTTGGCCCTTGATGGGATTACACGGTGCCGGGTGCAATTGGTGGGTGTAACACCTACATACTGGAAGATGGGGGGTCTGGGTGGAGGAGGCCCCTGTCCCAATCCACGCAGGCTTGGAGATCTACGCCCTGGGTCCCGCACATACAAATGATGAAAGAGATACTACCCCAAAAAAATTCTGGTTCAAAACTGTGCCTCAGAAAATCAAGAACCTTGAAATTAACTTAACTAGAGGTGAAGGACCTATACAAAGAAAAGCTCAAAACACCACTTCAAGAAATAAAAAAGGACATGAGGAAATGGAGACACATCACCTGCTCATGGACTGGGATGATTAATATTGTCAAAATGGCAATACTCCCCAAAACACTATACAGATTTTTTTTTTTGGCTTTTGGGGTCACACCCGGCAATGCTCAGGGGTTACTCCTGGCTCTGCACTCAGGAATTACTTGTGGTGCTCAGGGGGCCATATAGGATGCCAGAGATCAAATCGAGGTCAAACGAGTGCACGGCAAATGCCCTACCCCACTAAAGCTCTGGCCTGCTATACAGATTCAGTATAGTCCCTATAAGGATATCCATGACATTTTTCAAAGAAACAGATCAAATCCTGAAATTCACATGTAACAATAAAACCCCACGAATAGCTAGAGCAATTCATGGGGAAAAGAAAACGGGAGGCATCTTCTTTTATCCCAAGCTTCAAACTGTACTACAAAACGATAGTAATTAAAAAACAGCATGTTACTGGAATAAAGAGAGACCCACAGACCAATGGAATAGAGTTGAATACAACAGACTAGAGTTGAATATCCTGTCACCACACACTGTCAAATATATGATCACTTAATCTTTGATAAAGGAGCAAGTAATATGAGGCGGAGCAAGAAAAGCCCGCCCTTCAACAAGTGATGCTGGGGAAACTGGGCAGCTACATTAAAAAAACAAACAAACAAAAAACCCTCAGACCTCTTTCTAACACCAGGCACAGATATCAATTCAAAATGGATTAAAGACTTCAATATCAAGGGTCAGAGCAATAGTACAGCAGGTATGGTGTTTGCCTTGCATGCAGCCGACCCAGGTTCAATCCCCAGCATCCCATATGGTCCCCTAAGCACCAATAGGAGTAACTCCTGAATGCAGGACCCTAAGCATCACTGGATGTGACCCAAAAAAGCAAAAAACAAAAAAACTTCAATATCAGACCTGAATCCCTAAGGTTTACCTAGGCAGAACCCTCCATGACACTGAAGCAAAAGGTATCTTGAAATGAGAAAAATTATTTACCCAATACCCAAGTTCGATTCCTCTGCCCCTCTCGGAGAGCCCGGCAAGCTACCAAAAGTATCTCACCCACACGGCAAAGCCTGGCAAGCTACCCGTGATGTATTCAATATGCCAAACACAGTAACAAGTCTCACGATGGAGACATTACTGGGCACGCTCAAGCAAATCGATGAACAACGGGAGGACAGTGCTTCAGTTGCAATGATACCCATCTGATAAGGGGTTAATATCAAAGCTATATAAGGCATTACAAGAAAAAAAAATCCAACCCTATCAAAAACTGGGGAGAAGAAATAAACAAAAACTTCCTCAAAGAAAACAAATAGCCAAAAAGCAAATGAAAAAATGGTCTACATCACTAATCATCGGGGAGATGCAAATCAAAACCATGAAATATCATCTCACACCAGAGTTGGCAACATCAAAAAGGACAAGAACAACCACTGCTGGCATGGATGCAGGAAGAAAGAAACTCTCCTTCATTGTTGGTGGGAATGTTGACTGGTCCAGTCTTTCTAGAAAACGATATGGGCATTCCTCAAAAAAAATTAGAAATTGAGTTTCCATTGACCCAGCAATACCACATCTGAGACTATACCCCAGGGGCATAAAAATACATAGCAGAAATGACAACTGCTGTCATGGCAACTCTGTTGTCTGGGAACCTGGGATCACAAGCTCTGCACACCTGACTACACGTGAGTATAGCGGCCAGAACGCAGCCTGGTCTGTACAGTAATGACAGCAGACAAGAGAAGGGCAATCACAAAGACTAGAAACCATGTCCGTGTGCGTCTGGCAAGTGCATGATGAGAACAGAAGGTAGAGACGGGGCCCATGTCAAACAAGCACAGAAGCACCCAACCCCCCAGGGCAAGACAGGCGATAGTGAGGGCGGGCACCAGCAGGAATGTCATGGCAGAAGTGGCCAAAGAACTGGAAGAGTCACCTTTTCCTTCCCTTGACTGATGCGATTTGTCATCACAAATCCACACAGAACGCTTTGCTAGAAAGTCAAAGCCAATTGCTAGTATGATAAAGGCCACACAACACTATGACTATGACTATGTCCTTATGAAACAGTGGCGCAATTACTCCAGAACAGACTCTCCGACTGTTCGGACTCAGAGGAAAGCATCAAGCACGTGGAAGTGGGTCATCTGGGCGTGGGGCACACACACCTCCATAGTCGTACTGGCCCGAGTAGTAGCTGGCGTAGTAATCGCTCTGGCTGCTCCACCCTTTGGAGCTGTAGTAACCTTCAGGGTACTCGCGCCTGAGAAACAGAAACCAAGAACCGTTAGACTAGCGACTTGGGGGCTGGAGTGATAGTACAGGGGGTGAGGCACTTGCATTGCACACAGCAAACTGGGATTCAACCCCCGGCACCCCATAGAGTCCCTCCTGCAAAACCTCACCAAGAGTGATCCCCGAGCTCAGAGCAGGAATAAGTCCTGAACACAGCCAGGTGTGACCCAAAAACAAAAACTCCGTAGCAACTTGGGGACAGAGACAGCTGGACAGCTGGAGCATAGGCTTAGAACGCAGCAGTAGGGCTCAACTGCGGGTGCTGCATGGTCCCCCCAGTACTGCAGAGCATGACCCAAGCACCTCGCCAGGTGAATCCCTGAACATAGCACCCCACCCCATCCCCACACCAAAATAAGACCAAATGAGCTAATTCCTGCTGCACAGAGGCACCAGCAACACTAGGCTCTGCAGTGCGCAGGCGCTCCCCACAGCCGAAGTAGAGACAGTGAGGACACATTCTCAGGGCTCACCACCAGAAGCCTAGCCCAGTGTGCAGGGACAGACATCGCAACAGTCACCACTGGGCAGGCCTAGCATGGCCACCAGGGGGAAAACACTGGGCCACACCAGCCCAGCTCCCGGCATAGTATCTCAGGAGAAAAGCAGAGAAGAGCCACACGCAGGGAGAAGATCGGGAGGCCCCCAGAGCTGACCGCCCACAGTGCCCAGGGTCCACAGAGACCAAGTGCCAACTGCGTGTGGGAGTGAGCCTCTGGGCCAGGGAGGAGGGGGCGTGGGCTTCCAACCAAAGGGCTGAAACAGGGCCTGTCCTCGCCCCAGCACCACTCACTGAGTCAGCATGGTTTCCAAGGGCACCCCCTTTGGCCCAGCGTCCCCACCAGGAACTGAAGGCCTTGGGGGAGCACTGGACACGTGTCTATCCGTAAGAGGGGCCTCTCCGGAGCTCTTAGGGCAAACGGTGAAGACTGGGTGAGTCCAAACACCGCAGAGTGGGACAAGAGCCCTGAGTCTGCTGGGCCTTGCAGGGAGAAACAAGCACCCCGACTCACCACAGCGGGCTGGACTGGACAGACCAGCTTGTTGTGCTCTGGCCTTACCCACACCCAGTCCTTACTTCCCCAGGGATCTAGACACACAGGCCACAGCTTCCACTGAATCAGAAAGTTCGCCCTAGCTGCCAATGGGACTTCCCAGGTGACGGGATAATCGATCTGAGTGGGCGGACTTTGACCTGCTTCATCTTACTCAGCTGAAGGTGCACAGGCGCCCAGGGCACAGAGGCCGAGTGTGGCTATCCGACACCTGCCTAGTCTTGGGGCCCTGAACACGGCCAAGGCCCGGAGCCGCAGGAGGAACAAGCACCTGGCAGGAGGCCGGTCGGAGCTGTGGCTGGCGCGGGAACTGGGTCTCTCGGGCTCAGGGTAGCGGTAGCTCTCGGCGTACGCTGACGCGGTGCTGTCATAGGGCCGGTAGCGAGGGTCATACATGCCATAGACATCCTGCCAGAGACATGGGCGGAAACAAGTCAGCCAGCACTGGTCTCACTCCCTCCAACCGGGAGGGGTTGGAACAGGCTCAATGGGCGCGAATAGGTGCCACATGCTGCTTCCTACCCCGCACCGTGCGGACCCTGAGCAGAGCTGGGAACAGCCCCTAAGCACTGCTGGGAGCGGGCCACAAAGCAGACAACCAAAAGGCTCCACACGGGCACGGGTGCCATTGCTCTGCAGCGAGGGCACTTGTCCTTGGAGTCTGAGCGTCTAACTTGGTCCACTAGCTGGCAGGGCTGAGTAGGACCACTGAACCCCAGCTCCTGGCCCCATTGGGACCACAGTGACAGGATGCAAGAGGGGAAGCAGCTTCGTGAGGCTGCCGGGCCTCCCAGAGGCGCAGAGCCACAGGGGTGTGTGGGGACCTGAGCAGAGAACCCGCTAGCCTTCTTTGGCCCTGGGGTGCCGCGCCATCTTCAGAGGCCCCCATCATCAGACAAGCAGAGTCTGGAATCAGATTGGTCCCACATTTGCCAAGATTTCCAAATCCCTGAGGGACACATAGCTCTACTGTGACCAGGAGCTGCCACTGCTTCAGACTTCCAGGCCTCCCTCCATGTGGCCACCTCCCCACTGCAGGCAACCCAGTGGCCAGTGGCCCCCTTGGACCATGCTTTTTCAACTTAAAAGGTAAAGGTAAAGGCCCTCCCGTTGATCGTCGATTTGCTCGAGCGGGCCCAGTAACGTCTCCATTGGAGACTTTGTTGTTACTGTGTCTGGCATATCAAATACTCTCGGTAGCTTGCCGGGCTCTCCGAATAACTTACTACAAGCATAACACAGAGCAGATTCAAACAACCTTCCTAAGATGTTAAACGAGGCTGGGGTGGAGCAAGGAGAGCAAGCAGGGCGCTTGCCTTGCACACAACCAACCCGGGGTCAATCCCTGGCACCCCATGCTTCCCCGAACACCACCAGGAATCAGACCTAAGCATCACCAGGTGTACGGTCCCCGTCCCCACCAAAAGATGTTAAAGATCTCTGAGGTGACCAGAGAACATTTCAGAAGCAAGGTGGAAGAAGGCGCCAGAGTGGCCTTGGGCCTGCTCTGCCAGCTCACCCTCGCAGGCTGACCAGTCCAAAACTCACTGTCCTGGCCATGTGTCTTGAAGGCAGGCCCGAGAGGCTTTCCTGCTGCCTCCTCACAGGCAGGATCTCCCGCAAACTACCTCCCCTGCTCTTCTCCTCCCGTCAGTGTTTCCAGGGCTGAAGCAGGGCACCTGAGCCCAGCCCGTCTCGCCAGCTCCTTTGTTTTGCTTTTTTTTGCTTTTTGGGTCACACCTGGCAAATGCACAGGGGTTACTCCTGGTTTTGCACTCAGGAATTACACCTGGCGGTGCTTGGGGGACCATATGGGATGCTGGGAATTGAAACCGGGACAGCCGCATGCAAGCCAAACACCTAGCCACTGTACTATTGCTCCAGCCCCCTCTAATTGGGTTTTGAAATCCAAAGTAACTTAAGCCTCAGGCAGAGGCTCCCCAGAGTGTGACCGCAGAGTCTGGCCCCACAGAGTGCTGACAGGTTCAGCAGGAGAGAGGGGTTCCTGTCCCAGAAGCTGGGGTGCTGGCAGCTGCCGAAGCCAGGCAGCAGCATGTGAAAGGGATGGTGAGCAGGGAGAAATGGGGAGTCTATGCGGGGAGCAGTGGAGGAGTGGATGGGACAAGGACCGGGGTTGTTCTCACACTGACTAGTCAAGTCCGGGAAGGCTGCCAGCCCCAGCCCCACCTACCTGGTAATAGAGGGGGCCCACGGCAGGGTCAGGCGGGTACGGCGAGGGGTACTGGGGCTGGTAACCATCGTAAAGGGGTCGGTAGTAGTAGTAGTCTGGGGGCGGTGACTGTGGCCACTGCTGGTCCGGGCGCACGGTTGCCTGGCTTGAGGCAGTGGCCGCAATTGCCACGCTGGAGGTCAGAGGGGGCCGAGGCAGTGGCAGCTGTTGGCCTATGTCACTTGTGGCCAGGCTTGCAGGTGGCTGGGCAGAGTTTTGAGACTGTCCTGGCCCAAGGGGGCACCCCACATCTGAAGGCTCTGAAAGTGCCGCTCTGTGCCCTGGCAGGGGAGGTGGCGCTGGCTCCAGCTGAGCTTTCTCTGGGCCCTGAGGCTCCTGGGCATCGCGTGTCACCTGTTGGTACAAAGGGTCTGGGTTATGTGCCCTGGGCCCAGGGTGTGTGGCTGTGGACTGCTGACAGGAAACTGAACCGTCCAAACGGGACAAGCCATGCATTCTCATAGGGATCTCCAAAGTCCTGGGGAGCGAGAAATCAAGGGCACCCACAGTTCCCTCCCAATTGCTGGAGGCACTGGCCTTCACGCTGCCAGGTCCCGATGCACTACATGCAGGTGGCACTAAGGGCGCTGCAGTCCCCCCAGCCCAGCTACTGAGCAGCTGTGCAAGCAAGTTCTCTGGCATCTTGGGATTTTCTGGAAGCAGGTTCTTTGATGCTAGCGGAGACAGCTGAAGCAGCAAAGTGGCAAGCAGATTAGAAACCATTTCAGGAGGCCCAGAAACTTGTGAGCAATGAGTGACCCGGGGAAAGATGGTGTGGCAGAGGCTAGCAGGGAGAGCAGGGTAGGGTCCCAGGCAGAAGGGCGCGTTCCCAGGCAGCCTGGCGGCTGGGCCCGGACTCCTCCCCCCACCCACATCTCTACAGCACTGGCTCTTCTTAGCAGGGCTCCGTGAAGACACGGGAGAATTACTGAGCTGAGCAGTCAGCACGAGCTGGTCAGCCAGAGGATCAGTGGACAGGGAAGGTGAGAGACTGGCAGAGCCAAAACTTGCCTGAGAGGGAAGGGCCTCCTCCTCGCCCATCTTAGGGGGGTTCTCCAGATTCTCAGAGGCACCAAGGGCGTCTCCACCCTGCAGGGGTGTCCTGGAGCTTGGTTGCTGGCTGAAGACCCCTTCATCTGGGGGCTGAATCACTTCTAGGGGCCGAGGATTCACAGGGACGTGGAGCACGGGTGCAGCAGGGGCTAGGAGGACGTTGCCCCCAAAATCAGGCAGCTCGTTCTGAGCCCAGAGAGTGGTTGCTGGGCTCTCACAGTTCACAGCTCCCTGAGCACGAGTCAAAGGCCTTTTCTCTGGGGTTGGAAGCACAGAGTCCAAAGGAAGCCCCACAGCGTGTGAAGGCCCGTGGCCGGCCTCCCTGGTCGTGGCTGGTGGCAGAGGGCTGTCGCGGGGCACGTAGAGGGTCTCCATGTTGTCTGGCGGCTGCTCCAGGTTGCCCGGGGAGGCATCGGGCGGAGCAGCGGCTGCTCTGGACTGCTTCTGCTGGGCATGCGTGTCCCTCACCTCCCCCACCATGTTAGCTCGATCTGCTTCCACTGGTTTCACCCCAACCAGATGGGATCTCACTGGTTCAAAAGAACTATTTGCACTTGTCTGGAATACCCCTGTGGGTTTGGGGGGACTCGGGGTTGGGGGCTGGGAAAGGCTGCTCTGGTAACTCTGGCCCCCAGGGGTCTCATCTACCTCCCCTCCGATGGGAGACGAATCAATCTGTTTGAAAAAACTCCCCGGAGCCTCATCCTCGGGCTTCCCAACTTCCTGCTGAATGAAGGTGCCAACCAAGTCCTGGGGCCTGGCTGCCCCGGGGAGGGTCCGGAGGCTCCTGCTGCTATGGCCGGAGGAAGCACTGTCGGGACGCACGGGATGCGGCACTGCATCCGGGGCACTGAGCTTGGAGCTGGTCGGCCCAGGAAGGGGCCCGTATCTGGGCTGATCGCTTGGGGCCAGCTCCACACCCAGAGGCTCGCTTGGTAGAACTTCTTGATTCTGAACAAATTCTAAGTCCTCCACATTCTCATACTGGGTGCTGGCAGCCTCAGGAGCTCCCACACGGGCCGGATCCCCCCACGGGTCAAGGCTGACGCTTTTAGTGGTTTGTCTCTCGTGCTGGACACCCAAAGACTGTGAGAAATAAGCCTGTGCGTCTCCTCCCTGCTGCGCGCTCTCACTGTTGGAACTTCTGAGAAGCGCTGACTGGGACCCAGGATGACCAGGTCCAGGGTTGGGGGTGACACCATCCAGGTCAGCCGGCCCTGCGGAGCCTGGCTTCTCATATGAGAGGTTCTCCTCGTTCTCCGTCTCGCCCCCTTGGAAGAACATGGAGAGGGCCCCCAAGTCCCCCTGTGGCAGGGCGTGGCCCAGCCTGGCTCCCACCTGGGGGTGCAGATGGCTTTCTGAGCTGTTTCCCTGAGCAGCGGGGTTAGCCAGGGCAGGGGCGGGCATCTGCTCCCAAGTCATTCCTGGAGCTGGCCTCAATTCCTGGCTTGCCAGTCCAGGTCCGGCTCTGGAATCCCGCCTGAACGCATTTTCAGGATGCAGGCTTGTCACTGAGGGGTTTCCACTCAGACCGGCCCCGGGGGCTGGCACAGAGACTGGGGGGTTGAGTGGCTCATGGCCCTGGTGCAGGGAAGCAGGGAACTGGGTAGCACGGGAGGCCGGGGGCACCGTGATAGGCACTGGTCCTTCTGGGCAGGGCCAGGAGTGCTGAGAGGAAGGGGGCGGGCCCCCCTGGGCTGGCCCCCACTGCCCTGGCAGGGGCTGAGCAGGTGGAGGGAAGGAGGAGGGTGCGGCAGGAGGTGCAGCAGCAGCATGTGGGTTTTGCCCACTACAGGGCCTATCGGGCCCTGGCACGTTCCCAGAGTTATGGCCCCCAACAGACATGTCAGGACCTGTTGGAATGTACTGAGGCAGAAACAGCGGAGTCTGAACTGGGGTTTCAGAGCTGGAAGCAGCCTCAGTAACCCTATTCATTCCGAGCCCTGGTGGAGCTGAAGGGGCCACTAGGCTAGAAAATGCACTGGTTTCTGGCTTGGGCTGAGACAGAGGTCTAGGCAGAGGATCCAAGGGCCCATGGGAACAGTGAGCAGCGCTCAGGGGACGCAGGGGCTGGCCCGGGTGCTGAAGAGAGGTGGACGAGGCCAGGCCCTGCATGCCAGGCAGGCCGCTGTGGGCTGCGCTGCCCGCGGCAGGGCCCTGGAGTGCCTGTCTGCTGAAGGCGAACGGGTCCGTGACGGGCTGCACAGGGCAGGGGAGGGGAGCCGCAGGTCCACTGGGTGCCACCTGTCGTCTGTAGGGGCTGCTTGACCAGAATGTGCTCGGAGGGTTCCCGGCTGGAGGTGGTCCGACCACACCCGAAGGGATGGCCTGGGGTGGCGGCTGCATAATTGAGCTCTTGAACCGTTAAGACACCAAGAAACAGGTTTTTCTCAATCTAAACTGAAAATGAAAAAGAAGACATTAGCATAAAATCCAAGTGCTCCAAGTCCTGGCTGCAATCTGCAAAACTAAGCAGCTGAGGGCTGCTGCCCACCGTGGTAGGGGGCCCCAAGGCTGAGCAAGACAACCCCCAGCGCCGGGCGCCAGGCACAGAGCTCTGCCGAGCACCCACAGGAGGAAGGCTGGCCCAGACCAGCCACAGCGTAGTCTTCACTCAAAATCACTTCCCACACTCCAGGGACATGCAGGCACACACTGAACTGGAAGTCCTCGCTGTCCCCCTAAGGAAAGTGCAGCAGGCAGCAGAGTAAACTCACAACAGAGCCCCAATCTCAGGCCTCTCCTTAAAGGCCTCGCAAACAGTTCTCTTTTGGGGGGAAGCAGGGGATGTTTAGGTCATGACCAGTACTGTCAGGTCGAGTGGAGACCCATCCAGTGCTGATTCGACCCTGGGACTCCTTTAGGCAATGCTCATGCTCCAGTACGCTGAGCAGCTCCCCAGTGCTCCCTTCCTGCCCTGCCACTGGCCGCTGAAGCCACAACCATCCTGTGAGGGAAACCCAAATAAACTTAAAGAAGCTTTGAACAAACTGACAGATCACAACGGTGAGAGGCCAATGAACCGCTCAGAGAACTCAAAGGGCCAAAATCCTCAGCACTGGGTTTGCCACCCACTTTTTTCAGGAAATAAGAAAGCTGCTACCTGTACTTTGTTTGCTTCGGTTTTGCAACTCACTTGAAGAAAAACACGAGCTTGCTCCCCAGGTCCTGACTAGGACCCTAGAAACACTCTGCCTTACCAGTGCACCCCAGAACACTCTGCCTCACCAGTGCACCCCGGAACACTCTGCCTCGCCAGTGCACCCCGGAAGGCTCTGCCTCAACGGTGCACCCTGGAAGGCTCCACCTCGCCTGTACACCCCGGAATGCTCTGCCTCGCCGGTGCCCCCGGTAACACTCTGCCTCCCTCCAATCACTGCCACATGTGCTCAGTCCTTGCCCACAGGGGGCCCGAGACTGACAGGAACCCACTAGGGTGTAGCAGACTAGACCGAAACAGCACTGAGACCTCACTCAGTTCTAGGCTGCCACCTGAAAACAAAGAGCACTGTGGGACCAGGATGAGAGAGGAGCTCTTGCCCGCTGAGACATCGCTGCTAAGTAGACACGCCATCCTTGGAAGCAGCGCCCCCCTGACTGCACAGGGAGGTCTGGAAGGCCCATGGCCGGCAAGGCAAGGGTTCGAGTTCAAGCACTGGCACCTCCCATGAGTGCCAAGAGCACAGCCTCAGGGGGAGAACAGCCTCAGGGCCGCCGCAGACAACACACAGTCCCACTGTCCACCGATTCCATAGCAAGGAGAAAAATCTGACACCAGGAGCACGCATTCGAACGTTACACTGGAAACAGAACAAAAGAAACAACCACTTTCATCATCATTGATCAGAGAAGATCACAGTCCCACGCCCTCCTGGAACGCATCTTCACTCAAAACCACTTCCCACACCCCAGGGACACGCGGGCACACGCAGCCCCAGCGGCCCGAGAGACCCTCATGAAAACACACGGCAACAAACGCTAGGGGCGGTCTCTCCCGCAGGAGACCCGGGCTCCTTTCCTTGTTCTGGAGTGGCCACACTCCGCAACGTCCAAGGGCTACTCAGAGCTCTATGCTCCAAGACCAGCGCTCAGGGGCCAGTGCGCAAAGCCTCTGGCCAGCAGGTGGTGACTGGAGATCGAACCCTCGCCCAGTGGGCTGACCGGATCTCCACAGCCTCTGGGTTTGACCTTCGGCAACTCCTCCCTGGGTGGACTCTGGGCCGCCCCAGCCGGCCGCGGAGCGACGGGAGCTCCCAGGACCCGGGCTCAGCGGCCCCCGCGCCGGCGCCCGCCCGGAAACTTCCTCAGGTGCCCGCCGCGCGCCCGCTCCGCGCCCGCCACTCTCAGCCCCGGCCCTCGCGACGGCCCGCCCCGCCCCCACGACCCCCACGACCCCCGCGACCCCCGCGACCCCGGGCCCCCGCCGCGACCCCCGGGAGCGGGCCGAGGGCGCAAGGCGCCGGCGCCGCCTCGCAGGTCCGGCTTCGCAGAGGCCCCGGCCCCGCCCGGCCCCACAGGCGCGGCCGCCGCGTCGCCGCTCCCGGCCGCGCACAGCCGCCCGCCCGGCCCTCACCCGCACGCCGCGGCGCGGCGGCCCTCAGGAGCCGCGGGCCAAGGCCGGCCCGAGGCCGACGGGCAGCGCGGACGCGGCCACCGCCGTAGCCATCTTGGCACATCCGGCTCCGGCGCCTGGGCCTCGGCGCCGCCGACGTGTCCCGCCGCGACGTCACGCGCCCCGCCCTCCGCCCCGCCCCCGCGCGGCGCGCGTCACCCTCCGCCCGGACATTGGCCCCGCCCCTGGCGCCCCGCCCCCGCGGCGTCCTATCGCCTTCCGCCCGAGCCCCGCCCCCACCCGAGCCCCGCCCCCGCCGGCCCCGCCCCGCCCGAGCCCACCTGCCGCCGCCGCGTCGACCAGAGTCGCGGGGACCAGCCCGTGAGGCGCGTGGGCGTCCCGGAGCCCCCGCCGGGCCCCGGGGAGAGGCAGCCGGGGCGGCCGACGCCCGCAGGTGCCTGAGAGCCGCCCCCCGGCCCCACCGAGCACGGCGCCCGGCGCAGGCGCGAGCCTATCAGCCGTTGGCCGCGGAGACGCGCTGCGCAGGCGCCGGCCGCCCTGCACTGCGCCTGCGCGTGGCGCGGGTCCGGCTCCCTTGGGTCGCGGGTTCGAGTCTTCGCGTTTCGGCCGCAGTGCTTGCCGCTCCTCCCTCTCCTCCTCCCCGCCTCCCTCTCTCTCCTCCCTGCCTCCTCTTCCTCCTCCCTCCTCCCCTGCTTCCTCCTCCCTCCTCCCTACTTTCCTCTTCTCCACATTCCCTCCACCTCCTCTCCAATCCTCCACCCTTGCCATCCTTCCTTCCCTTTCCCTCCCCTCCCCTCCCTTCCTCCCCCCTCCTTCCCCTCCTCCTTTTCCCTCCCTCCTGGCTCCCTCCCTTTTCCTCCTCCCTCTCATGATCAGTTCTCTGCCTCCCCAGTGGGAGCACTACAACGTACTCCTCCTCCAACCTAGAGCCCCTTAGACCCCCCCAGCCTGGAATTGACTCGCCCTTGAGCTTCCCGGCCCTGGCAAAGAAGCATCATCCTGTGCACCCCACTTGTCCCTAAAACAAGGAATTCTGTTGGCCGGGGCTGGTTTGGGCCACACTCACAGTGCTCAGGGACTACTCCTTGCTCTGTGCTGAGGTCCCTCGGGCAGTGCTGGGAGCCAGTGCAAAGTCTGCGCTCAGCCCATACAACTCCGCCAGCCCCTCAGACACCACCCGACCAGGACTCCAGGGCTTCTGTGCTGTCCCCCAAACTTTGTTCACAGCGAGTGACCCTGGGCTGGAGCCAAGCACAGCAGGGTGAGCCAAGGCATCAGTCCCCGAGGGTCCGCAGCCCCAGTTATCCCGGGGCCACTAGGGGTGGCCCAAACACCAACAGAAGTTTTAAAATTTATAAAAGCCCCCAGTCTGAGGCGGCCCTGAGCCCCGCGTGCCGACTCTTCAGGAAGTGGCTGCCGTCCCTGGTCCCTTTCTGAGGTGGACAGAAGTGGGCAGAGTGTGCTGGCCTGTGCGAGAGACGCAGGGGTTCAGTCCGGCGCAATCAGGGCTGGCCGCCACTCACCTGAGGTGCCCCGGAGCTCCCTGCAGTGCCCCCAGCCGGAGTGTCTTTGCTGACTGTCAGCCGGCAGGAGCGGGCAGTGGGCAGCTCTGCCCTCTGACGTGGCAGCTCTGCTAAGCTAACATTTGCCTTGTGGAGTTTCAACACAGTTGGGGCCCGGGCCCTGCACCCACACCTTCCCGCCCGTCTCCTCCACACCCAGGCTCCGGAACCCCCCGGGAACACATGCAGCAGGACCCCTCCCCATGGCACGGCTACCTGGGCCACCCGGGGACCCCAGGCGCACGGTGCTGAGGCTGCAGCACTGAGAGGTGCCAGATGTCCCACAGGGCCACTCCTTTGGGAGCAACAGGACAGCACTTTCTCCTGGCAGTGCTCCGGGATGCCACCTGGCAGGGTAGGTCAGCTCAGTTGCCCTACTGCAACTCTGGCTCACGAAGGGCTGCTCCTCCTCTGACTCCCGCATCCCTCCCCTCAGCCCTCCTCTCCTCTGCCCTCCTCTTCTCTGCCCTGCTCTCTGCTTGCCCTCCTCACCTCTCCCCTACTCTCTGCTTCTCTCCTCTCCTCTGCCCTCCTCTCCTCTGCCCTCTTACCCTCTGCACTCCTCTCTGCTTCTCCTCCTCTCTTCTTCCCTCCTATCAGCTTGCCCTCCACTCCTCTGCCCTCCTCTCCTCTAACCTCCTCTCTGCTTGACCTCCCCACTGCGCTCCACTCCTCTCCGCTCCTCTCCTCTGACCTCCTCTCTGCTTGCCCTTCTCCCCTCTGCCCTCCTTCCCTCTGCCCTCCTCTCCACTGCCCTCCTCTCCCCTACTCTCTGCTTGCCGTCCTCTTCTCTGCCCTCCTCTCTGCTTGCCATCCACTCCTCTGCCCTCCTCTCTGCTGGCCCGCCCCTCTGCCCTCCACTCCTCTGCCCTCCTCTCCTCTGACCGCCTCTCTGCTTGCCCTTCTACCCACTGTCCTCCTTCACTCTGCCCTCCTCTCCTATGCCCTACTCTCCTCTGCCTTCCTCTACCCTCCTCTCCTCTGCCCTACTCTCTGCTTGCCCTCCTCTTCTCTGCCCTCTTCTCTGCTTGCCTTCCTCTCCTCTGCCCTCCTCACTACTTGCCCTCCTTCCCTCTGCCCTTCTCCCCTCTGCCCTCCTCTCTGCTTGCCCTCCTCTCCTCTGCCCTCCTCTCTGCTGGCCCTCCTCCCCTCTGCCCTTCTCCCCTCTGCCCTCCTCTCTGCTTGCCCTCCTCTCCTCTGCCCTCCTCTCTGCTTGCCCGCCTCCCCTCTGCCCTTCTCCCCTCTCCCCTCCTCTCTGCTTGCCC